TTAGGGTTTTCATCACGAACTGACATCAGCTATATTGCCAAAACTCTATTTATCCAAAGGGATTAATGAATTTCGGGCCAAAATCCGAGACCTGTTATCTTTAACGTGGTTGGTTCTTCCATATATTATAGTCTAGCCGTTTGTTCTTCATCTACCTCAAAATTTTGTTTCCGAATTCATAAATCTTTTTTTGCTCTTATTTTCCTAATTCAAATTTTCTTGAATATATTTGATGCCTAAACTTTTCTATCACTACTCATAGTCATACTACTTGTACTCTACTGGGATATGATTTGACAATTTCATCTCCCTATCTTAGTGGGGTATGGCAACTTTAATCGATGTACATACGTATCAGCTTCTATGTTACAACTAACTAGCTGATTGTAATAGGCAAACTAAATTTATGTATTCACGATTTAAATCCTCACACATTTGAAAGATATTTTTGTTACTCAACATGATTTCTTTCAGCAACTGACCATTTAAAGGTTGTTTTTTCCACCATAAATGATTGTTACTACAAAGTTCAAAATATATTTCACGGTTAAAATGACAGATGAAACTTCAATTGGTTTAACATTAGTGTTGATTAAAATTCTTATCCAGTTGTCTTCAGTTTATCTGATTTTTTATACTGTCGATAGGAATTTACTTATATTTAAATAATAATTGAATATTCACTTGGTATTGTTTACTTGAATCTTCCCATTGATGTTTAAGACTGCAATTGACCAGTATCTTATTGACATATGTGCATACTGTGCGTATTGTCTCGATATTGCCTTAATTCACATGCATTATAAGCAAAGATGGATAGTGGCTAGCAATGTAATCACCCTATTGAACAAGCAAGTGGTTATCAGAACTCAGTAGCTAAATGAATAACGCGATGGCGTTCGAAGCAAACGATAATGGGTTCGAGTCCCGGAGTGAACGTCAACTGCGAGATGCAGGAACATCCAGCTGACGAGTCTCAGGTAGGACGAAACGCGCGTCCTGAATTCCACTGCTAGCCACCATCCATATTTGCCAGTAATTGAATATGTTTTGGATAGTTTTTAAAATAAATTACAATTATTAGACAGTATTTGTTACAATTAACTAAATTACACCTGAAACAAACTACTAACATTCATTGTTGAAAGCTATAGCTAACTAGATAAATCACCTCTACGCCTTAGCATTATTTACTTACGCCTGTTACTCCTAGAGAAAGCATGTGCCGCTCACCAGCATTCACCATCCAACCCCGTCCTGGGCAATCCTTTCCAGTTCCTTCCATTTCCTATTCATCCTTTTCATATCTGCTTCTATTTCCCAACGTAATACGTTCTTCGGCCTTCCTCTTTTCCGCTTCCCTTCACGATTCCAAGTTAGGACTTGTCTCGTGATGCAGTTTGATGATGTATTTCCTATCCATTTCCATCGTCTTTTCCTAATTTCATCTTCAGCTGATAGCTGGTGTGTTCTCTCCCACAGGAGGCTGTTGCTTATGATATCCGGCCAACGGATGTTGAGTATCTTGCGTAGACAGCTATTTATAAATACTTGTACCTTCTTGATGGTGGTTGTTTTAGTACTCCAAGTTTCAGCTCCGTACAGTAGAACTAACTGCCTTGACGTTCGTATTGAAGATCCACACTCTGATACTGGTTGAAAGTTGTTTTGAATTCCATATGTTCTTTAATTGAAGGAATGCGGCCCTTGCTTTGCCAATCCTTGCCTTTACGTCTGCATCTGATCCTCCTTGTTCATCGATGATGCTTCCCAGGTATGTGAAGGATTCTACATCTTCTAGAGTTCCGCCATCAAGAGTGATTGGATTGCTGTTCTCCGCTTTGAATTTGAGGACCTTGGTTTTCCCCTTGTGTATGTCGGGGCCTACTGATGCAGAAACTGCTGCTACACTGACTGTCTTTATCTGCATTTGTTCATGTGTATGTGATAGGAGGGCTAGGTCATCTGCGAAGTCCAAATCGTCTAATTGATTCTGAGCTGTCCATTGTACTTCGTGTTTTCCCCCAGATGTCGAGGTCTTCATAACCCAGTCGACCACCAGAAGAAAGAGGAAGGGAGAGAGTAAACAGCCTTGTCTGACTCCGATCCTTACTTGGAATGCGTCTGTCAGCTGTCCTCCATACCCAACCTTGCACTGTAGTCCCTCTTATGAGCTCCGGATAATGTTGACAATCTTCTCAGGAACTTCACAGTATCGAAAAAGTTTCAATGAAGTCCTCCTATCTACACTGTCGATTGCTTTTTCATAATAAATGAAGTTGATGCACAGTGACAAGTTCCACTCAACTGATTGTTCGACGATGATCCGTAGTGTTGCAATTTGGTCTGTGCACGACCGACCCCTACGGAATCGAGCTTGTTGATCTCGAAGTTGGGCGTCTTTTATCCTGTTCAGCAACACTCTGTTAAAGACTTTCCCTGGTACTGACAGAAGTGTAATGCCTCTGTAGTTTTCATAGTTGCTCAGATCTCTTTTCTTTGCGATCTTGATAAAGTGTCCTTCTTTCCAGTCCATCGGCACTTGTTCCTTCTCCCAAATCTTTTTGAACAGAAGGTAAAGCATGTTTGTAGTTACTTCGATGTCTGACTTCAGTGCTTCAGCTGGTATGTTGTCGGGTCCTGCTGCTTTCCCGCTCTTGATTTGTCTGGTGTCCATTCTGATTTCTTCCGTTGTCGGTGGGTTGACATCTATAGGAAGATCTGTGTGTGCTGCTTCCATGTCCGGTGGATTCATTGGAGCCGGCCTATTCAGGAGTTCCTCGAAGTATTAAACCCATCTGTTCCGCTGTTGTTGAATTTCAGTGATGACCTGCCTTCTTTGTCTTTGACCGGTCTCTCTGGTTCACTGTATTTCCCTGCTAGTTTCTTTGTTCTATCGTAACTCCGTTTCATATTTCCTTCTTTTGCAGCCTTTTCCGCCGTCGTTGCTAGTTCTTCAACGTATTTCTTCTTGTCGGCTCTAACGCTCTTCTTCACTTGCTTGTTTGCTTCTGAGTATTCAGCTTGTGCTTGGACTTTCTCTGCTCGTGTTCGGCTGTTGTTAATTGCTGCCTTCTTGTTCTTCCTTTCTTTGATCTTGTCCAGAGTTTCTATAGAGATCCACTCCTTATGATGATGCTTCTTGAGGCTCAGAACCTCCTGACATGTTGAAGTTAATGCTTCTTTGATACCTTTCCAGTTTTTCTCCATAGCAGTTTCTTCTTCCTTCAGTAGATCTTATAAGGCTTGTGACCTGTTGTTGACAGCTATCTTGAATTCATTGAGTTTGTCAGTATCTTGAAGAAAGGCTGTATTGAACCTTTGTATTGCTGTTTATCCAGTTCCTTTTTAGCTTCAGTTTTAAATTGACCACAACTATGTGGTGATCTGAAGTTATGTCAGCTCCTCTCCTGGTTCTCACATCTTTCATTGTCCTTCGGAACTTTTCGTTGATGCAAATATGATCTATCTGGTTCCCTGTGATGTGGTCCGATGAGATCCATGTAGCTTTGTGTATACGTTTGCGTAGAAATATTGTACCGCCTATGACCAATTTGTTCAATGCACACAGATTTACAAATCGTTCTCCATTTTCGCTTCTCTCTCCCAGTTCATGTCGTCCCATAATATCTTCATTTCCAGTGTTGTCTATTCCGACTTTGACGTTTATATCTCCCATCAGAATGGTGAGGTTCTTTCGTAGGCAATGCTCTATGATTGATTGCATTTGCTCGTAGAATTGATCTTTAATGTCGTCGTTGCTATCATTGGTGGGTGCATAACACTGGATAATATTCATTGTGATCCCCTCCTTCTTTGTTTTGAATGATGCTTTGATGATTCTGGATCCGTGAGATTCCCATCCCACAAGTGCATTTCGTGCTACTTTGGACAGTATTAGAGCAACTGTCTGAGTGTGCGGAGCATTTTCCTCTTCGTGACCGGAGTATAGCAGCATCTCTCCCGTATTTAGCCTTTCCTGTCCAGCTTGGGTCCAGTGGGTTTCACTGATTCCCAGTACTGCCAAGTTGTATCTCCTCATTTTCGTTGCTATTTGACTGATCTTCCACATTGTCCGGACGTTCCATGTACCTATAAAAATTGTTGCTCTGGTTGTTAGAAGGGGCATCGGCCTCATGGCTCCCGAAGAGGCTCGGCTTTCACCATGAGGCCTTATAACTCTTCTGAATGAAGACCTTCTAACTCCCAGGGTAGAGTTTAAATGGTTTGAATTATTTTTTCTGGTAAGCGTTTTTTTAGCGAGTTAGTTTTCTACGGGATGGAGTAGCTAATCCCATGCCCAACCCTCCTTCTTTATCCAGGCTTGGGACCGGCAGTAAATCTAGAAGAGCTACAGGCGGAGTTGCCTTAGCATAAGGTTAATATTCTTCTTCAATATCAGTAAGAAAATCTTACGAATGCAAATTTTTCAATGAATTCTCTCCTTACACTCATACTACCATATTACCTAAGTACTAATCACCGGAAAACACCACATTAGTCAGATCTGTGAGACAAATATTATAGGCCATAAAGAATAACGTCAACTACGTACTGAGTAATCTTTTATACTAATAATTTCAGCTTGTTTTTTTAGGAACCCATCTTTAATTTATTGGGAGATAAATGAGTCAAAGATAACGTTAATGAGGACTTTATATATTTAAAATTCAAATTTTCACTACTCATACAATAAATAAGGGTAAAACATTGCTGTCACCAAAAGCTAAATTTTGGAACTTCAAGTATGTAAGAATTAGAAAATTTCATTTCATAATGAAAGGTAAGAGGATACTAGTCATTATGCTTAGGTCATGTATGATTAGTGATTTACAGTTCTCCTCAGTGGTAAAACATAAAGCATACATGTACAAGAACATTCCCTTCTATCACATAAAACACCATTAATACTACTATTACTTGTTAGTAGTAGCAGAGTTCTGAATGAAGAAATGTAAGGTGAAAGTGTACAAAACAGGAATGAAAAGGGGAATTGATTTTTAAACAAGATCACATTCTGAAACCTCATCAGGATGCAGAAAAATTTCCGTTTCATTGATTCCTTGCATCGGATTAGTACATGATGGTGAATGTTTTCGATGATCTACAATAGTTTTGGACATTCTAGGTGATGGAGTGGGTGACAGAAATTGTGTCACATTTGGTCGATTAATTTTCATTGACTCTGTTTTTTCTGTAGTTTTTGTCTTTGGTGACGATGAGGATGTTGAAGTCGCTGTTGCGATTGGCGAAACCATGATTGATCTGTCTGAATGAATTGGCTCTGGCATAGATCTTTCATAGGGCAATAATGGTAGTCTACGACCTCGTTTATTTTCACTTCGAGAACAAAATCCAGTATCATTACTTGTATTTTCAACAACATTTGATGAACAATTTACATTTTCAAAGTTACTTTCCAGCATCTGTTTCTCATTGTCTAATTTGTATTTCCTCAATTGATAAAGAAAATCATTAGATGGAGGAGAAGGAAGATTAGACTATAAATAAAAAGAAAACATACAGTAAAAGAGAAGGAAACAACAATGAAAATAATCAATTCTATTATCTAAATTAAGAGGCAAAAGTGCCAACCATTTGTCTCATTGACTTATTAATTAACGTTGAATTTTTTATTAGCTAACATGATGAGAATATATATAATATGTATTATGACGTGGCATATTGAATTGTATACGATTAATGGAAATTCCCATTTTATCATTTTGTAAAGAGAACGAATATGAATGTGCAAGACAATTATGATCCCTAGGTAGATAACACGTAGGAAAAACCGATTACTATTTTCCTCGCAATTTATTGAGACAAACCGTGGCTACTTGAATAGATAAGTATTTTTGATAGATGTAATGTTGTTTATGTTTGACTTGGACAATTAACCATAGTTAATTTCCCAAATATTCTCAATGTTATTTCATTTTGAAACTTGAATAATTCTGTCGGCAATCGTAACTTTATCCAATGTTTTACGTTCAGTACTATATGACATTCTAATATGAAGTTATTCATAATTTATCTTAAGCTTAAGTAAAATATTGTTGCAATTTAATTTCAAATGGGTAATGATATGAATCAAAGACACAATGCTCAAAGCACATTCAATAAGCCTTATATTAAGACCCTATTTATCTTATGATTGGTTTGAATAATGGTCACACAGCTAAAATAGAATGCAAAATGGAGTCTATTATCAAGTATTTAGTAAAACAGGCTATATTAAATAAATAAAATGAAATATAATATGGATCATAATTACAATAAGATTTATTTATAATTAGTAGAATATAATTTTCACTGACAATGGCAATGTAAAAAATATCTTCAAAATTAAATAATTTTAATATTTTTTCAATCCTTGTTTAACTGGTTTCCATTCCATATCTAATTTTTTTTAGTGAACAAAATGTAATCTTGTTCATTTTACTGTCATTAAGTGACCATATTGACACTCATGTATTCAGATTTTCGGTTATATATTTTTGTTGTCAATGTGTTCTTGAGGTTCAAGGTAGAGGTTTTCGAAATCATCGATTAATTATGTTAGGTGACATGTCTCAGGATTGGACATAGTATTGATTATTTATATTTCGATAATACCTGAACTTCAATATTAGCTTTTGCCCTATATTCTTCGAATTAATCTCTTCTTTTCGAACAATGTTTAATTTTGATCATTATCAATGATACTGTTATTTTGACTAATTTCTTAAGTGTACTGTTAAATTTATTACATGATATTAGTGTTTTAATTTGGCAACTTATTTCGACACATTTATACCAGGCTCTACTTCGAATATAACTGATTGGCATTAGGCTAAGACTTCTCTACAACACAATGTGAAGTACAGAGATCAAAGGTACAACCAGAAAAACTTCTAGTTAAAGAAGTTACGTTCATATTTTTATGCACAAAGTAAAAGAAAGTTACAGCAGTATTGTCATTAGCTTCTATTCTGATCCATATCTGATAACGTCTTAAGCCATAGTGTTGTACCATCTCTGGGACTCCAACCAGGAAGTCGTGAAGGATCAACAGAAACCAGTCCTGGATATCTTTCTATCATACTACGACACCATATCACACACCAACAACCTCACCGTTTTTTTCCAACCAGTCCCAGTTTCGGCAAATAATGCACAATGTGGAATTCCCTGGGACAATATTCATAGAACATGTTCAAGCCACCGAAGTCGATGTTTCAAGGTAGTGACACCAATTGGATTATCGTCTTTGTGCCCGAAAACACGATACCGAACCTCTGCGTTACTAACATGGTGTTGCCACTGGATGTCAGCAATCCTTCAGACGCAACAATGATCAAACACAGAGAGTCGTCTAACATCCATAACTCTAAAAGATCAGGTATTATGTGGTAAGCCCATTCAACTATTTTGTTATTTGTCTACTCGCTGTAATTTAGATATTTAATCCACTATGTAAAATAATGTGTGAGTCTGATTGAGCTCATACCTGCATATCAATCATTATTTATTCTCCCATTGGTTGTAAACACAGACAAACAATTAACGCTCAGAAACATATCTGAATTTTCAACACTCACACACATATGCACACTCACTCGTTTCCCTGTGTGCTTGCTATCTGTGCATTTGCAGATTTTTACTAATCATTAACAATATACTATCTCTACAACTGGTGTTCAGGCTTTTATATAATCTCGAGTATAATTCATAATACTACTAGGAAATTTAGCATGAGATAAATACTCAGTTAGAACAACACATATAAGCGAACAATTGTTTTCAATTAGATAGTCATCAGGCTTTACTCTAATATACATGAATATTTATACGAAAATTTTAAACCAATCAAGGCAATATGGGTCAATGATGACGATCTAATTGAAAACAATTGTTCGCTTATATGTGTTGTTCTAATTTTCACAATGGGAATCTTTAATATTCTAAAATACTCAGTTAACGGGATATTATTTATTGGAGTCAGATATAGAGGAAATCAGACTCTACAGTCACAAACATAGAACAAAACTGATCTCATCAACGTGTTGTAGATCCGCCCTTTAACAAGCAAACTAAAATCTCGTAGGCCCCAAAGATGGCCCAGATTGGAATAAACCGTTCTGGCTTTCATTATATGTGAATGGATCTCATCACTCACGCCATGATCAGCAGCTACCCAAATACACGAACTTCTCAACTACTTCTATCTTCTTACTACTCAGAGTGATTGTAGCTTCAGGGTCCTGCCAGTCTTGTAAAAGTACTTTGCATTTCGAAGGTGCAAAGCATCAATGTGAGCATCAACACTGGAATGAAAGTACGTCGAGCAGGTAAGTCTTAATGAGAACGATACGTGCATCCTGGATTCCTTTTTTGCCATAATTTAAAAAAATGTTAATCCTAAATGTAGAAAAACCTTTCAACTTTATGAAATTTCACCTGTTTAAAATTATAGACTGAAATTCGAATGTTTTAGTCTCTTAGTCATAATGATTAGAATGAAAACTCTTAAAACAGTCAGTTCATAATGTAAAGTACAAACCCAGTAATCTTCAAAAACGCAGTATACTAATGATAAAAACTTATGCATTAATAACGGATTTCGAGAAGAGGTCCTTTATGTCCTTGTAAGAAACAGTGACTAAAGAAGCTGTGCCATCTCAAGAGTGATGGAGTACTCTTTTAGGAAATTAGATGATCAAAACATATCGCGGATTGACTGTAGGTAAATATATAAACCACTAGATATCAACTTAGCAATCTGTAAGATAAATATTCTGCACGGAGTTCGAATGTCCTGTGTTCGATTTCTGCTTTGGTCGTGGAAGTGCAATTTCATTGAGGAATGGCATATAACGAGGAGAAAAATCTACACTCTTTTGTACTTTTCGACAGTTTTAAAGTTACAGTCAATGAAAACTGTAGCATTCTTGAAACGCTTAAATAATAATATATGTAATACTTGATAACTCCGTTGTGTTTTGTTTGATTACTTAGTAAAAATGAATTACTTATTCAATTATTTACTTACATCAGAGTTGCTTTCTTCAACACGTTCATTAGCAATAGTTCTATTCTGATTATGACTTGAACTTGGTGTCGGTGGCAACTGAAATTCCATTAAAGATGTACAAATCGATCCACATAATTCTGAATTAATATCAGAATTTTTCAGTAGACTCGGGGTTTCACTTTCTTCGACACAGTACATTGATGAGGAACAAAATGATGTATCTGTTGATGTAGTCCCTAGATTCATTGTTGTAGCATACTGATTCATATTGAATAAACCATGTTCTAAATCTGTCAAACCCTGCGAATATTCTTCATTTTCATTACTGTCATTATTATTATTACCATCATCATCATTGTTACTAATAATTTCTTCTTTGCCATCGTCTCTTCCTCGTGTACAAGAAAAATTCGGTAAATTGGGATGCTGATGATGAACAATAACATTATCATTCTTGTTAATTGTACATTTTGTAGGATACCAAGAAGAATTAAACTGATGACTTGGTTTACCATTCGATCCACAAGAATTTAGATGTAAATTTGATTTAGTTATTGATATAGGTGGTCGTGGTGACGAACTGATAGGACTCTTTCTATTTGCAATCCTTCTACTTTTTCAAAGTAAGGAAAAAAACAGACATTATCCATTGTTATTTTGGAGTAAGAAGTGATTCAATGCTTTGTAGATAGTTTTCGTCACAGATTGTCATCATTTTGGATTTTATTAGAAAGTAGGAAATAGTGGATATTAATCTCAGTGTAGTATAGGAATCTACATAAGAATGTGCCAGCGAGTACTGATGGTTCGAACCCAGGAAATTTATATCTTGCAGTGAGCAATCATCCCTCAGACGACTAAATTGGAAACAGACTGTGCAAATTTCCAACTTCAGTCAATTAGCATTTTACAGCGATAATCGTCTGACAACTTTTACCATGGTTAAACTTGTTAAATGCCAAAGGGTATGCAACAATAACCATGTATCAACCATGAAAATTAAATAAAGGGGATAGGTTTTTTTAACTAGCTTTCGTGAAAAAGCGTACATTGTGCACATAGCTCTAACCAGCATGAAAATATAAACATATCGAAAATGTCACCATCCATCCACATACGTACACACATCTTTATTTATTCATAAGTAAATTAGTTAACAGCAGAAAATAAGTGAAAACAATAAATGAAAAATAGTAATAGTAATAACAATAATCATGAAAGTGATTCACTTACTTCGATGAATTAATAAGACAATCTCTAGGAGAATTACAAGCAATAGGTTGCATGCCTTGTTCATTTGAGCGTATTTGAATCAATTCATGTGTTTCTTTATCCAATTTATTTCTATTCGGTGAGTTGTTTAGAGTAGAAGCCTGTGCTACAGAGGCCACCAAGGCATGGTTTACTTTACACTTATCTTCTTTGTTTGTTACAGGCTTACTAGATATTTTAGGGAAGACATGGTTATTATTAATATTGTTGTGATTTTTAATTTCCACTTCATGGAGATTATTAGCATCGTGTCTTTCATGATTTTCAATAGTATCTTGACTATCATCAGTTGTCACCGGTGACGAGCACCGTTCTGGATATCTGTCTAACCGACTTACTGGTCTCGGTAGAATTCGATGGCTTCGCCTTGGGACTCTGCTAGTTGCCGGTCTACCATGAGGCGATGCTTTAAATGACGAAGTGGTTATCGGTAGTATTGTATCCAATTGATGAAACTCACGATAAGCTGATGATCTGGCCACTGAATTCGATCTACACTGAGAAAATTGACAATTGTCAGTATGTAGTGTTGGACATAATGAAGAATGCTTTTGTAAAAATTGATCTTCGTTAAAATCTTCCTCAATAAAATAATGTTTGGTTTTAGGAAAGGATCTTCGACGGTGTTTGAATTTGATTTCATTCGGATCATTCATAATCAGACGAGCGTGATTATACTTTGGACAATGTGAATGACGGTTGGCGTAACTGAGACAGATGAGAGGGAAAAGATATGCATTAGGTATAAAACATGTGTACAGAATAATTCTTTGGATAATTTTATAATTATAAACTATACAGTTGTTTATAAATATCAACCATAAAATGTCACCCGCGAGATTTCAATGCTTTCAGTTTCTTGATTCAAGAATTGATTGACATGACACAATAAATGTTCATTTCATTGTTCTTTCAAGTAAGAATAAGTTACGGAAAATTTTGAAAAACATTTGAAAATAACCTGTTTAAGATCATCAAACAAATTACGTATAAAACAATATGAAATAATTTTTTCTACCAAACAAAGCTAATAACAGTTTGCTAAGTAACTTACATATGAGGATGATCACCAATATCGGTGACAGTTTCACAGCCTCGTGGACGATAAAACACACCACTTGTACCACGTACATGATATGGATTGATTGGAATAGCAGTAGGATGGTAATAATGATTATAGTATGAATCATTTACGTTTGTGTCGAAATAATAGTGTGAAGCAGGATGATGGTGATGATGAAAATCACATGAATCTGTTGTACATTTGGAATCATGAATTGTATTTATATTCGAGGGAACAGGTGATTTCATTAAGTAACCGGGATTGAATTCAATAAGACTTGAATATAATGGTCTTGGGTTGCTGATACAGTGTAAAAAGTATAGAAAATTTACTAAAAATGTTTGAGTGAAGTTGACTAGTTTATTCATGATTGATAAACATACAAATTATGTATAATTATCTTCTATATTTATCACTTTATTTTATTTATATTGACATACAGAAATCAATGAGCACTAAGAACTAGTTAAGGATGACATTAGTTACTACTCAGCAATCAATCAATGTAAAAATCTCAGTCAGTAAAGGCCAGAATACCTTAGTGATTATATTTCTGACTGTGATATGTAGTGACACACGTTTGAATCCTATAGCAATTATAAGTCCGCCACTTCATTAGTTCAACATCGGTTGCACAAATATCTTGATACAAAGTGCTAACTAATCCAAACTCGAAGTCGAAAATTTTTGTCGATTCCCCCCAACTAAATAGCATTTGTAGAGAACAAAATAATATGAAAAGGGCTTCATCTATTAAGAGGTTTTATATAGGGACTAATGCACGTTAGTCAATTAGAGGTAGTTCTTATAAATATAGGTAAACGAATATCTAAAAAAAGACCCAATAAAATACTTCAAAGTAACTAAAGTAAACTCATTACACTAGCGTTATTACATTCATTTATTGAGAGGTCGCTAAACAGTTCAAGACACATGACTTTCATCCATTGAGTCACATACGAACATCACTTCTCTTTCTACTCTAACAGTGTGAGCACATAACTAAGTAGAATCATTAGACTTCGAACGCATACACACAAAATCATGAGGTCGACAACCGAGTTGTTGATTTGTAACGATGATAATATTAAAATTATTATAAAGAAAAGGACAACCGCAGAAAAAATTCCTACATCACATAACTCGATTTGCACAGATACATATTTGTATACCAATGAAACGTATGATTTAAATGTAGTGAGAATCGCAATTTCATAAATAAGAGAGTTTATACTGTTTTTCAAAGAAATTAATTACAAAACAGGCACATATGCACATTGACTTACCGATTAGACTTGCAGTTATTTGTTTCATCTACAATTGCAACAGGTTGGACAGGATCTGTTACATGTATTGGATTATTAGACTCAGGTAACAAACTACTTCTAGAGTAGAGAAGAAAATAATACATTCATAGATTCACAGATTTCATTGACAATAAAATCAAAAAGTGAATTAGTAACCATTACAATACTAATGATAATAGAAGTGTTGTTCAATTATCGGTCAGAAATAAACTCAAGCATCATGAAATAATGATAGAAGGTATGTGTTTTTGTAATTTAAACTATTTACAGGTTTATCAAGTGATTAACAAATAAATCTCTGTAGATCATCTGGAAAACAGAGTGCAATTATATGCCGGGGATATATGGAAGTTTAATTAAGAATACATAGTTCAGGAGTAATTAAATTGAAGTATGTAGAGTGTTTGCATTCACCATATGAATGAGTCAAGTTTTCTGATGGAATCGTTGATCATATTAACAAAGAACATCCATGACAAATATTCGTTAAATATATACAGCTATAAAGTAATACAAAGTGATCCATAAGGTCGTATACTAGCTGCATACATGAGTGCAGATCATTTCACCTTCGGTTTTATATAAGGTCGAGCTACAGTGGGGTTTTCAATAGGCTTATTGTCCATACATTCAGATCGTTATTTTTATTTCGCACTGTCAGTGAAAAATTTATTCAAATAAACACAATACATGTTACATGCGCCATAAAAGTTTAGCCTTCACAATGCAATCGCTCAAATCGTCTGACGTGATGTGTCACACCATTCACTCTGTTCACTGACGGAATGTTGATCAAGAGTACACCATATATATAATCCTTTAAAATTTACTAATGAGAATCACATTCAGCACTAAATCACCAAACCAAGTGCTTTATTATTTCTATGATGTCAGTCGCAGTAATTGCAATAAGTGACACTAGTGCACATTGATATTAGTTACTATACTTTGCATCATCGCAATCAGTGAGATTAGAACACCAGAAGAAATAATATCAATTGAAGTGGAAGTTCAGACACGGAGAATACAGATCAAAAAGAAACAAGGGAGATCAAAGAAAGAGAATTAAGAATGCCAATCAAATCAAGATCTATGGGAAGAGAGTGGAGATGAATCTGTGCGACTAAGACCAATTTTGGGCTATATCACCAAATATACCCAAACACAGATTACAACTATCTCGTAAGCCCTAATTTTTCGGCCATTCCATACAGTTATAAATCAGATTACTAATCGATAACCTAATTAACCGACACGGTCTACTGATCTATTTACCTATGACTTTTTTCAACCTACTCATATGCCGTTCTATATTGCATGTCAAGACAGACAGTGCTTGGAAATGTGAAAGACATATTCCAATCATTTCAGTCGATGAAAGTCTGAAGCCTCATAAATCGACCTGTCGTTTTTCCCTAGTGCATAACATATAATCTTGACATTCTACACCTTTTTTCCATCATAAACGAGTAGTACCTCGGTAATCTAATGCTAGGAATACGCTCATATCATTTATTTTAATAAGGAATATCTCACAGCCGTAAAGTAATACAACATGATCCATGAGGCCGTGTATTAATCTCTCAATAGACAAGTGAACATTTAACATGTGCTACAGGCGAAACAAGTTGCAAAAGCAGAACGGATGTTTTGTATCTGTTCTGAGACTTCGCCGAACACAACGCCAAGGTTGATGAGGCTTCAAAATAACCAACATGGGCTGACTATTGATTACTCTTTGATTGACGGTAGTTCAAGGCTTTAGTTTCAGTAACTAATTACCGAAGTAAATGATTAACAAATGAATTTTGTGGTTTGTATCAATAACTGGTTGTAGCTTGTCAACCACTGAAAGCCATGAAGCACTGAAGAGCTGATACTTCCGAGTTTACAGTGCGCATCCAAGATCCCATCGACAGTTTAATCGAGAAATCTCAGGACTTGCAGATAGCGCCTGACCTTCCGATTACTGAGTTGGTTACAGTGGTCAACATTCTTAGCGAATTATGAGGTGACTATGTATACTTTTACTATGCAACAAGAGTAGAGGTCCGTTTAGTACCAAAAAGTGAAAAGTACTTCTACATACAAATCAAAAATTAAAATAAATGGTTATATTGTTATGATTTGGCCGAAAACAAGTCAGAGGTAGATTCTAAAAAAGCGAATACAGAAGCACAAGAAAGACAGAAAAAATTATAAAAGCCCACCGGAAAACAACAACTGATCCATATTTCCAATATATTTACATCAACCAACCGTCCTAACACTAAGAGGTTGAGAAAATCATACAGTTTAAGAGAATGAAAACAAACAGGAGGGTGAGAAGAAGGAAAAGAAACGATTGAGAAATGAAAACTGACCGGAAAAAAATAATAGCATAAATAATGCGAATGTAAATTCAATCATTTAGTTATAATATACGCAGGATTTTGTGTGAGGTATGAATGGTGGTGTTAATTAAAGAGAGAAGCATTAAAATAGTACTATAAATATACGAAAACATCAACTGTATGGAGGATAAACACAAAAAGGATGTAAAAAAATAACAACTGAAAACCACTTCAATCAATGGTATCCCATTGATAACATCGCCAATATATGCGCTTACCAATCAGTAATAATAATAAATGAAGCAGAAATATAGTTGGAACATGATTTATACCCCAAAAAGTTAATATGCTCTCCACAAGAACTGAAAACAAGTCTGCATGACGAGGAAATTGGGACCTATTGTACAGTGAAAATGTAAGGAAAACCTAATACCTGAAGTTTGAAAAATAGATAACCAAGAAAAGATTTTATTTGAATTGGTAATCCAAACACACAGGCTAGAAAAAGACATGCTTGAGCTTTGAAAGGAGATTTTCGCTCCCACCCTTTGCAAAGATGAACATGAATAGTTTAAAGGATCATTTTACTTAAACTTATTTGATAATCAACATTGAACAGGTGAGAACAACTAACACATTATTGGATTAGGCAGCTAATAAGGGAGTAGTGAAAAAGTGTAAGAACTATGGTCTGCTATAGACTACTGTGAAAAGTTCCCGAAGATGGGTGAAATCTAAAAAGCTGTAGGAAATAAACCGTGCCATTTAGGGTATTCTATGAAGAAAAATTACTATTTTAAAAAATATTATTCAGAAAAAGAAGGCAACGGAGATAGATATAAATAAAAAAAATCTAAGTAAAGCATGAAGTTAACCAAGTAGATGAATGTAGTGCAGACCTGATCCGGATTTGACTCAGTTTATACATAATAATTATATTTTTAATCTATTCAGTTATTAAAATGATAATAATTGCAGCTAACTGTTATTGTTTAGAAAATATATTATACATTAAAAATGAAAAATAACAAATACCATCAACAAAATATACTGAACTCCATAAAATCATTTCAAACCAAATAACAAAATTGCTTAATGGGATGTAGATTAGTTGCGTGTTTGCGTTGAATGTGTAGATGTGGCTATTAAAAATAATTAGTACTAAACGAATTTATATTACAATGGTAATACAAGTGAAAATTTGATTCAATTGTTCATAAAATACATTAATCATTTATCAGATCATATACTAAACGTCAAACTAATGTTTGAGTGTATAGGAGAGTTTTGGTGATACTAAAAATTTGCCGAAACTGTAGACAGTAGAAGAGAGTGAAACTTGAAACCAATAGTTGAAAGTCAACTCTGTAAATCACTTCAGTCCTTATATCGTCACTGGCTATTGTCGTTACGTCCTCTCAAAAGTTTGACGGATAAACAAAACAATAGTCTATGATGGATTAATTCGATTTACAATATCATACATCAATACGCGTTTATCTGAACTAGGTCCACATGCAAATTAATTGATGCAAAGGAGATGAAAGTTGAAATGACAGTTAAAAACAAATAAATTTGTGATAAAACATATTTAAAGAATTTTTACTTACTCATTTCCAATAAACGGTGATTCAGTCTTATCTGAAAAAAATAAGAATTAATTTATCACAACTTTTGACTTAAGTAACGTCCATTAAGGACGTGAGTAAAAACAGAGTACAACACTAAGGATGAGTATCAATCAGAGCGCTTTAGTGTAATACAGTAATGTAACTAACATAATAGCTGTCTAAATAGAATAAATCAAGAATACCAATAATATAATGTCACGTTGATGATACTTACATCTTCGCATTTCTGTAGCACAGCTTGGTATAACTACTTATGCAAATTGAAATTGTGTGCCATTCCGCATAAATAGTCTAGTATCAATCAGCTGTTCCTTCGGTCTTAATGAAGGTGGACAATCTTATGTTCTGATGATTACTTTATCCGAATCTAGCTTGACTTTCCTGGAACATAGTTGTTTACAGTTGGGTACTTGTATTAACTTCATGTTTCCTATGACAGCGTAACCTGTATTTCGATTTATGATATTTCAAACATCTTCACATTTTGTTAATCGTTAATTACTCTTTCATGATGGTAGACCTATTCACTGACAAAAACTCCGCTGCTATATTATTTTTAATATATTCCGATTTCATTTCTATGAAGCAAAGAAACGTAATCTGGAATGTAGTTGCGTTACCTTACAGTACATTCATTTATTATTCCGAAACCAACTGAACCAATTTATAATAAAATAAACGTATACTAAATTATTTTATACGCAATGACGTTTCATTACAATTAATTAATCAATCATTGATATAGGGGGTTTGAGGGTATTGTAGAATTTTCAGTTTAAATCACGAACTGACCTTGGACCACCTTTAAACGGCCGTTTTGTCTTAGTATGGGGCTCTCCAGAAGCATCCACAACCTCGTATCCGGGACCCAAACCCAGAATTTTCAGCTATGCAAGAGAGCGCTTAAAAGGTAGCTCACAGAGCCGACATCCAGTGATGTTAATGTCTAACTTCAACCAGTTCACGATAAAGCTCTGAAGTTTGTAAGAATTTCACAGTTTGAATTGTGAACTGGTCTTAGCTGAACATTGAAATCAAAAACTCATTTACTTAAACACTTTTTTTAACTATTGTATTATCCATTTTATATTTATAGTCGTTCCTCAATATATAATAAGAGCAAAACAGAAGGATTACTTACCTAATGAAGAATTGGTATAACAGATTGGCTGAGCAGTAGAATTAGAACATAAATCCCCGTTTACCAGTGACTGATGAGGTTCATTTATTATTCTTTGAGATATTTCGTTTCTACATTTAATAAAATCACACAAAGACAAGGAAATAAATAAACAAAAAATTAGACAAAATTAGAATAACAAAACGAATTGTTAAGCACAGAAACTAAATAAAACAATACAAAGCTTAATCCCTTTCACTATAAGGTGATATCAGATAAAAGGCTAATATAAACCAAAATCAGGAAGCGATGGACAATTATTTCATCTTAATATGCAACGAATGACAGATATTATAAACTAAATGGTCATTTTGTTAAATACAATACTAGTTATAAGACTTAAAGGTCCTGAGTTCGATTCTCGGCGAGGCTGTGAGTACACATTTTCGAAAAGTCACATACTGGTACAAATACACTAGTTAATTCTGCATTATTTACAGAGCTTCCCCAGCTGGTAATAGTTCTTTGTGAAGCCATTCTTTAACAGCTAGAATGTATTTTATTCTCAGATCTTGTTCATAAATCAGAAAAAAGAATTCAAGACAAGAGAAATGAATACAGATCTTATTAATTAAGAAAATTGATTTTGCAGAGGAAGAATAATAAAGTGCAACAATTGTGTTTGGTCACATCTCACGATGATGTTTGGATTAATTGCTATGAGCCTATCTTGAAAGTACCAACAATACGACAGGTATTTATTTCAAGATGTGTTTCAAGATACGTTGTCTTTGATCTGTTTCGTTTAACCAATTATAGATTTTAGGGTGGACATATCTATCGGGTCACATGAAAAACATCCACAATTTCACTAAAACTGACAATGTGACTTGATAAAAGGTTTCTGCCAAGCATGAACACAGTTTTTAAACATTAATACTATTTACATATTATTATTATCGAATACTTCGTAAACTTGATAAATGCAAAACCTCACTCAATATGCCAACAATCAGGTTTGTAGTGTTAAATTATAAGATTTATAGGCATTGAAATTAGCCAGGAATTTGACACGGATAAGATGTAATAGGAATGATCTCGAAGTGAATTAATATAAGTAACTTATTTTCAACTTACCTATAAAAGTTTAAATAATTTTTGCATGTTTCCAATAAGGAATTACATGTCTCAGAATTATCAACAGAACAACGATATGTGAATCGTGTACCCTAGAAAAACATGAATATCAGAGTAAATAGTTTAAAACAGAATAGTTGATTTTTTTTCAGAAAAAGTAAACGTATTGGAACCTTAAAATAACATATATATAATTACTACTAAGTAATTTTTGAGTGACTTATAGAACAAGACGTCGAGATGATGACTTTATTCAAAAGATTATTCCTATGAAATCAGTTTCTTTCCTCTTGTTTTGTAAGTGAAATTCTACTTACCTCAGTTAGTTAACTGGGAAGATTACGATAAAGAAACTACAGTCACACTATCTCGTTTAGAATCACTTCGTATATATGACTGAAAGCTGTAATTTTTCAACACATCCATTAGTAGTTTTTCTTTTTTTTTGTAATCGAATCTATTCAAAGTCGATTCAAAGAGCAAAACAACAGTTCAGATGATTAAATTGTCGTAATATATTATCAAATCAGCTATCCCATTTTTAGTAATTTTCTACTTGAATGCTACAATGTTCGTGGAACATTTTGAAATATATTCTCTCAATAGTCAATAACAATAAACATTCGAACATTATTTATTTTATCGATATTCATTTGCCCAGTTGAATAAATTCTCTTTCAGTAACATATTTGTTTTTTACTTTAAAAATACATTTTCCTTATTTATGTCACTAGTGAGACAGAAACATATTTGGCTATTCAATAAATCATGAACAATCAAATGAAAAATTTAAAACTTATCCACTACCAAATAACACTTAGTTACAATCAATAGGAAAACCAGGAACTTCGAACAAAGAGTTCATATGTAAGAGAGAGAGAGAGATAATTTGGTTTAACTAAACTAAAGCTTTAAACGATAGAATCCTTAATAATGTAGAAGTATTTTTCACCTAGAGCTGACATCTATCATAGAACTACAGGAAATCGAAAAAATTAAACCGTTTGTTCTAATGGTTGAATAGCAGAGTTTTCGCTTTAATATCGACGAACTGTTTTATCATTACATTTTATTTACAGTCAAACATTAATGTATTAGAACCTACGATGAAAACATGTTCATTAAACACTTATTTCTATCCTAAATTTCTTCATTCTCCAAGTAATAATATCAAGAGATTACGTTATCAGTTTCATCTACACATGTTAGTGGATGGAGAGGATTTACATAAAAGCGACCATTAAGAACAAAATATAAAATCTGATTAACTGAACTTTGTGATTGTTGAAATACTTCGATTTTTCAATTAGTCAACAATTTACGATTATTATCCGATAAGTCGAGATAGTATCTATTCTGTTTAAATATCGTTAGCATTATTACCTCACATACAAATCCAATGTATCCATGCTTCCTAAGTTAGTCATAAGCAATAGGTTCATCTAGTGATGTAACATATTACCTTTCCCAAAAAGTGAAAAGCATATTATGAATAATTCATTTGTTAAAATTGACTTATTTACAATGAATATGTTGAATAGCTAAACAAGTGTAAACTGAAAATGTTTATAATATCAGCTCTGAATAATTCAAATAATAAATAATCAATGTTACTATTGCTATGTAGAATAATAGAAGGAAATAAAATGAATTATCCAACTGATGTGAATTACCTCGTTTAAAATTTTAATTAAAATTTGTTTGTGCTTATGACTGAAACCCGTAATCTGTGGCCTGAAAACCAATAAGACAAATAGTTGAAATTAATTTACTACAGTTAGTCATCTGTAATAGATATCTTTAAATAAATTACCGACGAATATAATGTAAGAAATGAAAAACACCATTTCAAATACGATATTACTAAGGAATAGTTTCCTAAGTGCATGAAATCTAACTATAATTTATACTGACATATTCAAGCAAATATTGCTGAAAATGACATGTCAAACCTTAACGTCTTATACATAATCCACGACTAGGTTAAGTTCCATTCAAAAAGCCTAAAATCATAACCTAAAGCAAACTTATACCACTTTTGTATCACAAAATATCGATTACAAAGTTGTTATAATAATAGCAATTATTATTGTTATTATTATAACAAGCTCTACTACCACAAAATATTTAGTTGTAATTCAGTGATCAATATATAATGAAAAAAAGGAATCATCGGCTTTTTACTTGATTTTCAATAAGAATACATAACAAGTAAACGACAAACTACTGCTGAATCTTTATGCAGGGAAAACCAGATTAGTTTAATAACAGTCAAGTTAGATTCCCTTAAAAAATATGCATAGACAACGATGAAAATATTGATAAAATTAAGAAATATATTGTCATTTATAAAATTGATATACATAAGTAGAAACATATTTACTGAAATTAATCTTTATGTTAATCACTTCGGCGATGGAGGGAGTGAGGGAAGAGAAATAATAGAAGTTCGTTTATTTTCTCAAGTAAACGGAAATCATTTGACACTTGACTACAATTTTAATTTTTTTTTCTAATTTTGTGAACTCGTTTTTATTTGACTTTTCTCCTTTAAAAAAAAAGTATTATCTTTAGTAAGAATAGTGAAAAATTGAAGAATATTCTCTCATTCTATATTAACAAGTTTGATGAATAGCCTATTATTATTATTATCATTGATGTACATATAAACGAGACAAAAAGCTTATCCTTAAATGAACTTATATATATAGGGAAACGCATAAATACTATCATCTTGGCAATAGTGGATAGACTGAAATGATTCGATTGCTACTTATTCAATTTAATAAATTTTTGTCACAGTTACTAACTTCAATGAATAGAATTTTGAATGATTAAAAAATTTAATATCAGGGAAAAGTAAAGATAACAGTAAAGGTTAAATACCTATCTTATAAATTTAATCCTTTAGTTTTAATCATACGCCACATTTTTTGTTCTAACTACTCCTAATACAAAATCAAGACAGGTTGTAGATTATGTAAACATGTACAGTTGAGATGGGGTTAGTTATTTAAAGAGTAAAATGGACATCCAGTGTTCACACTCTTACTATCCATGATTAGTAAACCATGTTGATGACGTTCATTTATAGATATCATCTAACAGTATATTATTCTTTTATTTAGACTGTCTGCTCTGACTTTTTTGTCACATATTTTCAATGTTTTTTCCTGACTAGTCTACACACGGAGCTACAATCTTATTCACTGCGTAACACTATTTCCTGACCTTCTTAACTTTCTTTATAGTTCATTTATTAAACTGGATGTCAGTTGTTACCGAAATTTAATTACCTTCTCCCTCCTTTCGTGATGATCTGCATTGTTTAAACCATAACCGCTATGAAATATTTATTAAAAAGACAGATGTGAACATCACGATGGTCAATAAGACCAGCTTAGTAAAAAAGAGTTAGGAAATTATTAGAACCAGATAAACTGATGTTATGAAATTAATTTATTAACAATCACCGATAGAAATCTCACTGTGAGGTAGTGGTAAGTAGTTTATAGCGTCATACTTGTAAGGCTGATTTCTATGTAGACAAACCCCAACAAATCGTGAATCGCTTGAGGACGTTTTTCGACTTGTACTATAAACCATAGTGGCCTGATTCACTTATCACATAAACCATGTAAATCTCAGTACAACAACAATATATTATCTGAAATGCTAGTGCTCGTTACAAGAGTGTTTAAAATAGTACTAAGATATTTAGGAAAGAAAACAACTTTTCTAATAACAGGTACCATTTTATTGGACATAGACTTGATGAAAACTGACAAATAAATCTTTCAAATTATGCAAACATTTAAATTTTTTTCACAAGAGATAAAAGAGAACATTTATTCACAAATCAACAAACTAACCAGGAAAATTGAATCAGATTTTTTCTTGAATCTTCAATAATTACACCAGATGGTCCCAGACAAAGTTGACATGCGGTATTTGATATAGTTTCCTAGTAACACACCGTGTAAACAATATGATCTGGCTTAGGATTCTAAAAAATCTGATTTTTAAATAAAGTCTCTTTGTTAACTTCATAACTAAGACTGAGATATGGTTTGGGAAACAAATCATTCTCATATTTATTACAACTAGGTATCAAGACTACGATTGAAACACTAGGGTTCTTGGTATTGTGTGGTCGCGCAACAGATTTGAGTTGTGATTTTCATGTCGTGTAAGAGCCTGAATAGTGTCGATTCTCCTGGAAACTGGTGTAAGATTTACTTTCTTGCAGTATATACGTGTGATTGTGTGAAATGTTAATTTGAAACTATATAGTTTGTTAAAACTTGTAGACAAGAGTTCACGTTAGTAGCTGAGGATATTCGGATTGATGACAAGATACCTAAGATTATAATGTTTTAATAAATAAATAACAATTCGGCATTAATTAGATTTACTTTAATCATGTTACGCTAGATTAATTCTCTCTTAATTTCCATCACAAAAACCAATCATGTTAGATTCCCACCTTTCCATTTGAATCAAAATCATTCTTAGATTTTACAAAAGAGTTATTAAAAAAGTTGTTTATTAATGTCCACTTGAATACAGAAAAAATAACTTGAAATGGCTAATCATAAAGGTTTCCTACACAATCTAAAACTCTCGAACATTATATTATGACAGTGAATTAAGGAGAAACTTGATTAGTTTAAAAGCTAGGATTTCCTAATGACATATATATATATATATACATGGATGATTTCCTGATTCCTTGTTACCATGTTCTTTTGTTTACAAAAGTTAATTCTCTAAAATTTGGAAGAAAACGGTAAATATCCATAATAAACCCCGAGAAATGCTGACAAATTATTCTTTGAATTTTACAAGGCTTTGTACGATAAATGTTTTAAAAACAATTCGACTACTTTTGTATTGGTAAGTAGTTAATTCTAAAACAATGTTTTGTGGAAAATATATGATAAACCTCCAAACAAGCAGACAAATTGGTTTCCCATTATTCAACAGTGCTGATATTTTTTTCATTAAGTAATCATTCACACACTATCAATAATATTTTCGTATATTAAAAAGTGAAGAATTTACCAGTCAGATATGAATACCGGGGAGCATTTTCATGAAATAGGGTAAATAGATATTAACTTGCAAGATAATCAATTAGCTTGTCAAATACTTGGATCCGATTCACATTGTCGGCAGGGCGGCTGGCCGTCCTACCGGTCTGCCCATACTGAAATGGTTGGAGCAGGATATGAACCTGTGATATACTTGTTAGAATTCAAATCTTTCAATCAATAAACTACCAGTGTCGACACACATTATTTTCTTCTGTACTCAAGTAGAAACGGTTTCAATGAGAGTTTCAAAAGGCTATTAACACAGGCGAATTAATGAAAGGTGTGATTTGCTAACTAATTAATTACTGTTAAAAGCACCTACTCCAGATAAGTTCTAGATTGTAATATACCCAGACCTTTAATTTCTCCAATAATGACCACTTACAAGACAGCAAAATATAAATGGTGAAATTATGTATGCACCGAAACAAGAATTTATTATCCTCAAGTAATGGTTACTTTGCTGAAATAATAAAACAGTTCATGTACTGAGTTCACTGCAAACAAGATAGACTATAATGGTAGGGGTTATTTGTTTAACTTACTTTAATGTGAAATTTTATTTGACCGTATGTTGACAGTTGTTTCACTTTATCCAATAGCTGATATTCCACCAAGGCAGGTTGGCGACATCTTTAAACAAAAATAGAAAAAAATAAATCTGACTAATAAATTTACTAGTTAATAAATAAATCAGTGAGTTTCATGGAGGCGATCCGTATAACTACTTATTGGTTGGAAATAAGTTTAACCAATAGGCACATACGCCAAAAAAGATTGATCAATTACGGTCCTAAAAGTCAACGGGAAGATTCAAGTAGACAATGCCAAGTGAATATAAACTTTACCCCATTGCACAAGAAAGTAGCTATCAGGACACAGTAGCTAAGTGGATAAAGCGATAGCATGTGAAGCGAACGGTACTGGGTTAGAGTTCCAGACTGAACATCAAATCTGAGATGCAGATACATCCAACTGACGAGTCCTAAATAGGAGGAAACGCGCGTCCTGGATTCTACTGCTAGCCACTTTCCATCTTTGCTAATAAAATTTAACCAGTTTATATTGTCCACTTCTTTCTAACAAATCTCAATGCAAGAATAATGATAAGATACCTAGCTTTGAATGATCATTAGAATCCGATCAGTGTACAGTATCAAATCAACATAGCAATTACTACTAAATGTGAAATAGGTTACTATTTCAATAACGTGTGTTTAAAAAAGAAAAAAAATATTCGTGATATCATATATAATTTTAAGGTGGATACATAGATTAATGGCATAACATTTATTGTTGAGTAACACTGAAATCCAGGAGGTGATTTTCATCTATCACAGTACCTGTGTATTCAATGTAGGCTTAACTTAGCAACAGTTGTAGTGGTAACACTCAAAAAATGATTGATTGAAAATTTTCTGGCGTACAAAAGTGGTATACCTCTTAAATCAAAACTGAACAACCTATATGAGGAAAGCATCTGAGCACTTGATACACTATCAGTGACTTCTGAAAGACTGTTGGAATTATAGAGCTCTAATTGAGCAGATGTATACGGAGGGAAATATCTCAGTATGCCAATACCATCACAGAAGAAAAATCACGATGTATATGTATCTGTATTACTAAAACTTGGAAAGTAAACGTTTTTGTTACATATGGGCGTCACCTTTGTTATTTCTGCGTGTCGACGTTTTTCTGTGTATATTGAATCTATTGTTGCTGTAGTCTTACTCCCTTTACTTGACAATTGATAATTTCTGCAATTCCTCAGTCCTACTACTTATACTTGTGAACAAAAACCAATGCGATTCCTACGACCCAAAGTGAGAACACAAACGCATGTATATAATAAATCTGTACAACACCATCCGGTAAAATATTTCTTCGCTATTTATTTTTGAATTTTATCACAATTATAGCCCAAAAGTACCAGTCATTATTGTTTCAATACATTTACCATACTTTACAGACTATATATTCAATCTAAGCTAGTTTCTTTATATCTACAGTAAGTTTTCAACAATCCAATTGCTTGTCACTTGATGTGTTAAAATCCTTAAAAATAATCAACAAACAAGGATCTTCGGATTTATTACTCTTCGCTGAAGTCATTGTAATAAAAAATTCTAGACCGTATTTGTGTAAAAAAATTATTCATGTTTTGCTTTGATGACTTCGTTATCATGAGTGTTACGTAAAACTTTTTAGTGACTTATAATGATATTTACTGTTTTGTTTCTTACTGCTGAGCTTTACCTAAATAGCCTATATTCATTAAGTGTTACGTGATCTATGGGATGAATGCCTCCAAATGCTCTGGTACGGCCGAGAGTGGGGAGAGTCCGCTCTCCCTCTCCAAATGCTCTCACACGGCCACGCGTATATAGCCTATGCCAGGGAATACCTACTCACTGCTTTCTCGTGGCGGGGGTGTTGTTTACGAAATTGAGAGGACGAAAAGCGAATGTCCGGTGCTTTAACAGGGTTGGTGGACATGGAGAGCCCATCTAGGGGAGTTGGAAAACCCTCATTCCAAAACAATGGTGAACATGGGCTCCAGTATCCTGAAGGAACAAATGGCGTATGAACCTATTGTTGGTCACCGGCTACCATGGGACTGCATCTCCTGACGTTGCTCCACTGCCTTGTGGATCAAACCTTCAGGTCGAAGGCTCCAGTTGTGGTCCCCAAAGAAGACCACCTGCTTCGGTTTGGGCGCCCGTACATTATCACAGCCCTCACACATATCAAATGAAATCTGTGTGGCGCATATTTATTTGGTGCCTCCTTGTACCAATATCTATGTGTTAAAATAAATAAATGGATAATAAAATAATATGGAATGAATCCTTGATTTCGAGAGGATAAAATTCCGTTTCCATCCCCTTCTTAGTTTTTTTTCTATAGTATATATGTGTTTAACTTAAAAATTAACCAACATTTAAACGATTTTTAATCTTCCGACTTTGATTGTCTCTTATTATTCTATATTTGCATATCATATTCATTTTTATTTAAGACTATTCGGATATAAACGTTTTACATAATCGTTTCATTTTAATGATTAATACTATCGTTTCACAGTTGGTAATTAGTTTAGGTGAATCCATGAAATAAATAAAGTCATGTTATCCTGATGACATAAATGGGAATACTTGTGTGAAATTTCTATAGTCAGTGATTTGTTACCTCTTATGTAATTTGTGCCGAACATAATCCGAAAAAAGTAATTAAAAATGCACACATTTATACAAATCACTGTATTGTTATTTACTATCATTCTATAATACTTCGAGTACAGACTGGCTTCAATGTAGACCTATTTTATATTTCATTCTATTTCGAAACACTATTTGTTGTTAGTCATTACCAACTAGTCTAGTTTCCATATTTTTGATTGGATTCAAATAAAGTTTATCCTCTTCTTTCTAGTTATAAATAATTTTCACAAAACAGTCAGAAAAGATATTTTGTCTAATAAACAGAAACAGTAATAAACACCATTAAAAATGATCTGTTCAATGAAAAGAATACAAAAACAACTATTAGAAAAATGTATGTAGTTTACACTAAAGATGAAATTTAGCTGAACAACTTGTGGAATTCACTGAGTATTGAATAATTATTTTGTCCCACTATGAAATCACTTCAAAAGTGCGTATCTGATCTCTAGAAAGGCTTTGTATAAATTCAACACTAGTGTTTAGTTGGCCGTTTGTGTGGTAGTATAAAACGAGGAAGAGATAAATGCGTTTAGTTCTACCAGGTTTTCATCCCCTTTCTCTAGTCTATGGAGAAAATAATCTGTACAAAAAGTACTTGATTAAATGAAATACGATATCATACGATTTTGACTAGTCATGAAATAGATTTATTTTTAAAGAAACAAATATAAAGTTTACACTAACCGACAATCTTCATGTTTAATTTTTATTCTCTTCTCAAGTTGTTCATTAAGATTAGGAAGTTTTAACAACTGCTTTACATAATTCGATCCTAAACGATCTGCGCCGTAGTCACCACAGTCAGCTAGAATAAATTAAATAAAAGTTATATTTGCGCAATCATTTAACCAATGCATAATCTGCAATGTAAGAGATTCAGTAGTGACTTATTGCTGACAATATAAGGATTCCAACCGCTTATATGTAGACTCAAGCTTTAACGAACCAATTACGGTTTGAACAGTTTGTGTTTAACAGGCTTCCAGTAAAAATACAATTGTCTTATCACACATTCGTCAATCATGTACATTAGACATGTTGATATAGGATTGTCAGCATTTATGTGTAAATAATGTGCTGAAACAAATCCCAACATTTTTTATTCGTTTTAAAATCAGTAATAGAGTCACATGATTCTGTGGAAATATTCAAAGCAAATTGACATTCACTAAACGAAGCAACCGTCTCTTTCTATCTGGATCTGATAGTTTTCTAGCTGTTATCCATTTTATGACGAGGACTATATTCACTTACTTCAAATCTCTATACAGATTTCTAAATGTTCAAATGAGAAGCTGTAATCTGTGAATATATCCAAGCTAGGAATGAGATGACATTCGATGAGGATCGTGTTATGTCACAAGTTAAACTGAAAAGTCAAATATTTCGGCTGTTCGATACAGATTCAGTGACTTAAAGATATTGTACTGGCAGTGAACTCTGAGAAGCATTGGTCTGGTTCTTTATGAATGGTCATAAATGACCACTCGAAGCTCTATGCCAAGAAAATAAAACTTTATTAGGAGGATGAGTTGCAACAAATGCACAAAAAACAAATCATACAACCGGGAAAATTAAGAACTATTAAAACGTAATAGAATATAAACAGTATCAATGAATAAGTTTACCAACATTGTAAAATTAATCCACATAATGTGACAAACAGATTTTCATCAACCTGCATTCGTCCACTAATTAAATCATTTCGGACTTGAATAAAAATTTGATATCTATAAAAGAGAAATAAAAATATTTTGAATGGATTAATCATGGTTATGAATTACACTGTTAGGATTAAGGTAATTTTTTGAAGGACATATTAAAATACAAATGATTTAAACAGACTGACAGTAACACGTCACAGGTCTTAAATGCAGCCGATTCAGTTAGTAATCCACTTTATATATGCGATTTCCAAGTTGCACATTTAACTCGAAAATGAGCGTCATTTATAAGTAAGATCAATATATTCATTTATAATAAGCATATACAGTCATTCATTACGTTTATTGTCCTATGAAAGTAATGAGTAATCCAACTCAGTATTAAGCTGCTCACTTATGATTTCAGAGCTTTGAACCATATGTTTCTGTATGTGACAACTATGGATACTGTTTAGCATTTTGACGGTATACCTGTTTCTTAAATAAGATTTTATAGAGGTTGCAACTTTGAGAGATTAATTGTGACATTTCTTAAAAGATTATCAATGAAGATTGTTTTGGCGATAATGATAATGATGGAATAGCTAGTTAACCAAAGCAAACGGGATACTACTACCAAGGTACGTGGGGATAAGCATTGGATTGAATTTCAGTTTCTAAAAGTTAACTGCTTTAATTATTCGGGCATTGAACCACATAAACTGTCATAGATCTTTAGTATACATTAATATAACTAAACATGGGTTCAAATTAAAAATCATCCATTCTAAAACATTAAATAAAAACTTAAATAATTCAACTTGACAGTATTTATACATTTTTTGTCTATCCATTTTATAAAGACGCAATTGAAACGTTTAAATGAACATGATACCGAAATTTTTCTATCATACGGTAGACTCCAGAGAATCATGTTTTTCAGTCACCGAGAAAGTAAAGGCGCCCTTAAAGCTCATTTTGTCAGTGATCTGCAGTTATCAAATATTGATTATAACGTATTGTGGTTTGACATTGTCTAATCTCATTTCGAATAATCATATGAGTTTAATTACATAAGAATATTATTTACATTGACCAACTATGAACAGATTCAAGGATGGAGGGAGATACAGAGAGAGGACCGTTAGTATTCGTATATATTTGGTACTAATGTCTGAGAAAGCCGAGTTAATCGATTTGATATATATATATATATATATATATATATATATATATATATATCTTGCAATCACATCCAGTTGTAAAAATAATATTTTTTAAATAATTCATGCGGGTATTTCTTACTCCCTGCTAATACGCATACATAAAATATTTAGTTGTAAGACTCAAATATATATATATATATATATATATATATATATATATAACCAGTAGGGATGATTCAACTGTGAAGAAACTCAGGCATATTGGCTTGGTGTGACTAATTGAACAGATTCAGGTCGTTGTCATGAAATTAAAATTGCATTTCTAAGGTGAAAGAAATAAATCTTAAACACTCGACAACAGTTTTGTTTGTAAATTCTCATCATCGGCAATATCAATAGCAGTCACGGTACACAAAAATTTTAAACCATAAAAATCGGCCCAGAGGATCAGTGAAATTTAACTTATTCTGTTTGGGATTGAGTCGAATGGTACAAATTCCCAAAAATAACCAATCCGTCAGCCAGAAAGCGAAATAGTTGGCTTGTAGATGGTAAATTATAAATAAACCTTAGCTATATATAAGTTAAATCAGAGACCATCATTAGAATGACGGGTTTTGTTACGAAATAGACTTTGAGTTTATTCGATATTATGAGTTATGACTCAGTAAAATTGTTCACGTAGACATATATTTGGTGTTCGTTTTTATACAACAAAATAGGTAGCCCAGTGGTTCTAATAGTTAATTGCTCGTTGTGAAATCTAAAGTTCCTGTGGTTCGTCTCTAGTGAAGTTATGGTTGCACATTACTGAAAAGTATCATGGTTGAACGAAATAGATGTCCATTACTCTCCCGTCTTCAGTGATACTCTAAATGTTACCTATCAGTCTCGAATACAACACATACAAATTGAACGAATCTCCATAAAACCCCTGCAATTAAAATAGACAAATCTCTAAAGTTCACAGAAATGCCGAATTTTATATTAGTAGCATCATGTAAACTTAAATTTAAAAAATCCTTTGTCTACAGCAAACTCAATTCCAACAATCTAATCACTTTTGTCGATTTCAAAACTTTTTTAAATACACAATAAAACCTGTAATACGGAAACAATATCCATTGAATTTTAGTTTTAAATTCACGAATCTATCCGTTGAAAATCACGCGTATTTGTTGTTTTCTACCCAATTAATGGTTTCTTTCAGTAACCATCTAGTGTTCATTATTAGTTAATCATAAGCCACATTAAATCTAGCATATACGTGTACCGATCACTTATAAAGTCATAAAATTAATGTTTGGAAGTGGTCAGCCGCGGAATCCAAAGATATCCCGATTCGCGATACTAAATTATGGTTAAATTACATAAGAAAACCTAATCTAATCTTTCAACAATAAGGAATTTATGATGATAACTGGTGCTCTGAATATAAAAAGCTATGAGTGAGTAACACTCAACTATCTCAAAGCAAAAGGAAACACCCCACGTCCCAATTGTATGATTTCAGTTTAGGGCGAAAAAGACCTAACTTTTTTTAGATTAGCGAAATTCTCACAAGCATTACGTAATCAAGGACTCCATATTTAGATATTGACACGAAAAAATTACATTTTACACACTCATAATCAGACCTACATTTTTTGTTAATTTCATAATTTGATTGATAGACAAATGTGTTTTTATTTATTTTAAAGGTATGATTTGTAATCACGGTATGGATTTGGGTATATACAATAAACACAATGACGTCAACATACAATGTGTAATCAATAACAGATGAGATCAAATCACAATAACTGACTAGGAAAGAATCATGACGTAATCTGACGATTTTTGGAATGATGAATGTAATTAGAAAAAGTTTTTTTAGGTTGAAGCCAAATGATCGTATGGTTTAGTTGAAAATGTTTCTTCGAGGTTGGTATTAATCTATAGATTGTAGTCGTCACTGACAGGTCTCAATGGAAGTACCACTGAAAACTAGATGGCACTGAAAAAGTTTCTTCTTAATATAAAACTCGATGATGCACACTCACGAACCAGCCAGAGAACGAGCTCGAGTCCTTAAAGTCACTCAGCCGGAACTTATCTATTAGAACTATTGTGTCAGCGTCAATTTATACTATCTCAGCACCAATCAGTTTCTAACACTTCTTTGAACATGTCTGAACCCCGCTAGTCAACGGTTTTCACTGGAACTTCAGAAGTAAGTCATAAGTGTGCTAACTATTTTATTTTAGTTGGAAGGCATTTGTAGGTCTTGGTTTTAATTTGTATGCTGTATTTGTCACTTATGAATTCCATTTGAGGTGACATAAGTCGTATGCTTTATAAAGTCAATTTGTGTCCACGACTCTTTTTTTTTATTACAGTAGAAAATAATTGTGTGCAGTTGGTGTGTGGATACAGTACATTTGTTTTTAATTAACACCAAAAAAGACTTAGTATACCAGCGTAACAGGAGATGTAAACCGGCAACAATAAGAAGATGAAGAAAGAAAATGACCGAAACGAGAATTCGAAGTATTCGAAATAATTAATTCGGGAAAGACATCTAGCTATTTATAAAACATTCAATATAAAGGTAACACATGAGTCTCATTGCTTTTTGCTCTGAGGTTTGTCAGATAACGTTCCACTCCACTGAAATACACGATCTATAGGACTTCATTTGAATTGTAACAAAAAACCAAAGTGACCTAATCCGACGCGGTTACACTTCGTTTTTGCTGAGCCATGCCATCGACTAACCGCATCTCTGCTTTATATATATTCGGCTCAACCATGGCCAAAGACAAACTGAATGAAGACTACATGAATACATTGTAAGTAGTTCACTAAATTAACAAGTAATTTGTGGGGAAATTATGTGGACTGAGTATGGACTGAATATGCTATGAATTTTAAATAAGAGTAAAGCTGAAGTCCTGAGGTTTTCAGAATTAAAATTACAAGAACTTCTAAAATCATAAACTATTTTACGCGTGTTGTAATTAGGTTATTAGTGGCATGTTCCTGCGAATGTTAAGTGAAATTGTTTAAAATTTACGTAGTGGAATCCATAAGGGTAAGCACCAGGAAATCTTGACCTGGCAGTAATCTGTGACCGATCAGCGTAAATATCTCAGTTTTGTGGGTCATTTGCTGCCCTAATAGCTCAAACTAGATTAAGCGGATTCAAATCACTCAGTGAGAAACAGTTGTTTCTAGTGTTTCAGGTACATCTTGTTCGGCTCGGAGTCTTCTAGATTTAGATATCTCAATTCACTCATTCTTCACGTGTTTGAATATATAAGCCACACTACTACCAACTATAAATAACCCACTTACATTGAAATATAGCTCACGTAATGTAGTCACCAAAAGTAGTGGCTACATTGTGACTAGCCTGATAGGATTCGGTCACCACCATTACTAAGCATACACAATATCAAATAATACTTAGAGAGCAAACAGTGGATAAATCCACAAATTATCTAGTATTTTCTGACTTTTTAGAAAATGGATATCAGTTAGAGAACCATAGAAAGAACCTAGGAAGACCTAGTCGTTTCAGTGGAGGTCAACGTAATTTAATTTTAGGATAGATACTTAATGAGTATTACCACACATCTATTGAGTTTAATTTTAACAGAAAATGGACAACTGTGTTAGTATGAATGTTGTTTCATTGAGTTATAAACTGTAACCTGGTTGTCTATATTGAGAATAGGTGGTTACAGTAGACAATTTTTTATCTTATAATATGGTGCTGAGGTATATAAGATAGGCTAGAACCAACATATATTGGTTCATCCTTCCTTTCTGTGTGGAGTCCTAAACATAATGCAGCCCAATAGCTCAATACAGCACTAAGATGGGGCAAAGTGTTGACCAGTACCAATTCAGCCACATTTTGCTGTAGTACGTATTCAAAATATAGAAGGTATCCTTTCTTTTAGGGAATAAAAAAACTTTTCGACCATATTTTTTCACTAAACTGTATCTACTATCAAATATCATTTGTGATCACTTACTTATTGAGGAACCTTCCCTTTTTTTACTTTTGATGTTATCAATCCATTTGTGTAGCACATTGCTGAAATGGTCTATACCAGCTAAATGTTTGTCATTTTCAAATAAAATTCTAGAGAGCATTCACTAAGTCATTATCTGAAATAGTATAGTACACACCCGGATACCATTCTGTATTTATCTCGATCCTAATTTAATTTGTGAGTGTGTGCAGTTGTAAACTCCATGAATACGACGAAGCAGCTATCCAGTGCTCTGAATGATATAGGTAGATAGTTAAATTCTTGCCCCGGCATCCATAAATCAAAATGAATATTCTAGTTAAATTAGAACAGACTTATAAAAATCCTGACTGTCACAATGAATAATGTTGAGGAAATAATTCGAGAGTACACGAGACAAAGATCGACAAACTTTCGGTAACCCCTTGAAGCAATTTAACGTATGATAAAATGAACGGTGAGTGTACTGCAAAACTTATAAGTAGCTATATCAACAAGACACCAGTCATCGTTATACACTATTCTAAAATACTATTTATGCAAAAATAATGTACGAGAAGTTATTTAGTCTACAGTAATAAAAAGAGTATCCAAACCTTGTTTGTTCATCTGCAATAATTGTTGGATCTGGAGGGTAATATTTGATACCAAGATAAGCTTGATAAATTAAAGTAAGTGGTTTGTAAACATTTTTAACATAGGCATGAGTTGATCCAGGTCTTGATGTCGATGCACAAGATTTTAGACCACATGTTCGAAACGAAGAAATGAACTTTTCCGTTAGGCTAGTCATCGGCTGTGATTCAACTGGAATCACATTTCTTGATGGTATACACTGAGGATCTTGACGATTTGATGCTTGTTTCACAGATTGTTCTACGACTGGTGGGCTATCTGAAAATTTAAAAATAAATAAATCCCTTTTGAATCTGAATAACTTTTAACTGGCATAGCATGAGGGTAAAAACTGACAACACACTAAATAGACTTTACACATTAAATTCAAAAGGCTTTCATTTTTGATTAATTTATCCACAGTTGATAGATCAAACAATGAATGTATTCTGTTATAAAATTGACGTGGTTAAAATATCACACACCATTAGCTATCATACAAATCATTTACCAGGTATGGTTTTGCGTACCCTGTTTGGGCCGCACTATGTGAATGCCAGTGAAGCTACTCGGCTATTAGACCTAAAGTGATGAGAGAAGCGTTCAGAACTGCAACTTACGGGTCGGAAGTGATGTGGTGACAATGGATCGAAGCGTCTCATTTTCAACTAATAATTTCTAGATTTGAACGCAATTCACCCACTTTGGTTTGGATAGCTAGGCCCTTATATATTGTGATCCAAAGTGGCGTGTATAAACTAGTCCCTGGTTTATATGTTACATTCAATTCGAAAAAATATAAGATTATATATTTTATATTTGATTGCATCTATTCAATACAGACCAATAATAACAGTAAATAATATTAGTAATAGCCAGATCTTTTTTAATCTAAGTTTATAAATTGTAGAAATTAAAAGAGGCTTATTCAGTGATATTTCAAAGAATTGTGAAAATTCATAGAGTGATTCACTACAAAGTGAAATACACAATCAGTAAGCGAACAGGTGAAATATCGTCATAGTTGTTACTGATAATGACAAAAATAAAGAGCATATCAAGTCAAATGCACTCATAGTGGCTAACATCTGATATATTTTAAAAACATATACGTAGAAAAACTACGCTCACATAGAGTCGTTTCACTTAACCATCATCAGTATTACAGTGAATTTATAGTAGTTAACAATTATTATGGCAGATGAAAAATAGAAAATATGGAATCACACACGTAAGTTCAACCGTACACATCCGTCAGCAACTGAGAAAAATCTAACAAAAAATGGTGGAGGCAATTATAAAGAGCAGATGGTTCTTAGGCGCTTGTAACCGACCGAATGCATATATATATCATTTTATTCACCTCTCTAATTTTATTCAAAACCCGTTAAAAGAGACCGAAAGTTCATGTGGAAACAAAAAACAACAGATAGCGGAAATTCTGAAGCTTTAAAGCTTCATAGAAATTTCTACTCAACGGTGATCAAAAACAGAATAGACTGATGATGAAAATTTAATGAACACTCATAGCCAATAGAAATACGAGAAACTCCACCGACCATGTGTAGTTTCTGGTTTCCACCTGAAATTATCTATGGATTACTATTCAAACGAAACCACATTTTCTCATAAAAAGGTTAACTAGATAGGTTTCTCCGGATGTCTAAAGCTCATCATCATACTTTAGTAGTTCACTAACGTACTTATATTCGATTATTCCCACAGAGACTGCTGTGAAATGAGTTCATATGTATTCGCTTATAAAAAAAATGGTAAAGCATCTCATTAAACTGAAAACTCACCAAGTAATTTCATTTGACACAAGATATTTTTCTGAAGATGAAGCCAATGCTGACTACACTCATCTAATAAGTTCGAAAAATATTCCTACCCAGTTGTGCATTCTATCCTGGACTTTAATCCCGAAATACTGAGGGTGAGTTATTTTAAGATGAGTAACGACATTGTTGAGTATCTTCCCAGCCTTTGTTTTCGCCTGTTAAGATTTAACAAAATTAGGTTTGAATAGTTTCAACTAACAGATATAGAGTAGTAAAGGAAATTTTCATCCAGCAAAGTGAGTTTCATCTGAACGGCAAAACACTTGGTGTCCAAGGCACAGCTCATCCTAATTGTCAAGTTACTTTCGAATAATCACGACACCAGTTACCGTGATAACTAAGGTTGTGATTTTTCAATTGTGACCAGGTTCAATGTACAATGCAGATTCAGTTTGGAATGGACAGGAGGCTTAATGGCCTGTGTTAGTCCTGGCAATATTGGTCTCTCAGTTGATCCAACTTTCTTTTGAAATAGTTGACGGATGGAGCCTCAACCACGTGCTGAGGTAATGAATTTCACTCGTTGATGATTCAATGGGAAAGTCGATAGTCAACTGACGAGTAATTTGTCCTGGGCTTGTGAACTTTTTTATAGTGTCCTCGTAAGTTCTCTGCTTTGGAATACAAAAAAAGATGGCATATCGGGCGCAAATTTATCACTAAGCAATTTAAAAACTGTAATCAACTCGCCTCCAGTTCTACGATATGACAACGGGAATAGGTTTAGCTTGGCCAGTCGCACGTCATACGGGAGCTTCGCTATTCCGGGAAACAGCTCGGTTGCTGCTCTCTGAACGTTTTTCAAAAGTTCACTGTCTTTTTTAAAGCAATGGTTAGCCACTTGTATGCAGTACTACAGATTACGACGTACGAACACCGTATACAAAGTCAAAAACATTTTAGCGTCGACAAGAATAAAAGCCCCTAAGTATTGACCACAATGTTCTATAACCTTTGACGGCTATTTTACGGCAGTGTGAAGTAGTCTTTAAGTCTTGGCTAACGACGAACCCTAAGTCATTGTGTGCCTAGACAACAGGTAGCTCAGTGTTATTCATCGTGTTTGTATCTGTATCCTGATTACCGATATGCATCGCGATACACTTGGGAGTATTTATTGGCAACTGCCCGTTTCGAAACCATTCAGATAATTTCTCCAGGTCATTTTGGAGTCCTAGGCTATCACCTTTATATCGTATCGCTCTCTATATCTTGACATCGTCAGCATATAGCAAGACCGATGATGCTATTAGGCGAGGAAGGTGATTTACATACAAGAGGAATAACACTGGCCCCAAGACTGTACCCTGAGGCACTCCACTAAGCACAGTTTCCCAGCTAGATAACTTTGAGTTCACCCATACTCTTTGTTGGCGTCCAACTGCGAGGTCTTTTATCCACATCAATAGATTGCCTCTAATCCCGACATTTCTTAGCTTACATAACAGCCGGTTCTGTGGAACTTTGTCAAAGGCTTTGCTGAAATCAATGTAGGCTACGTCTACATGTAACTTTTGGTCCTTAAGAGACCACCAGCCTTCACAAGCGACTGATAAGTTAGTGATACAAGAAAAACCTATTCTGAAACCGTGCTGTTTCCCCGAAAGGATCCGGATTTCGTCGAAAAACTTGAACAGCTCCTTCCGAATGATATTTTCTAAGATTTCAACAATCACATTAGTTAGGTTAACGGGTCGGTAATTCTCAGGTTTATGTTTCGTATCTGTTTTGAAGACAGAAATTATTACGGCGTTCTTCTAGTCTTTTGGTAAACGACCCTGGATTACGTTTAGACTAAGGCATATACGTATAGGGTTCACAACGAAGTTAGATATTTCCTGTAGCCTAGGATGCAATTCATCGGGCTCCGTGGATTTACCTATGTCCAGCTTATTTAGCAGACCAAATACATCGAGTTCTTTATTGGTCACGCTTACCAGTGTATGTGTGGGGATTTGTATTTACTGACGGGAAGGTTATTTCCATGGTATATACATTGCTAAAATAGTTTGAGAATACTTAAGCCTTACCAAAGCCGTCCTCCACTGATGATGTGGCAGTACTGTCTCCATATAGTGCAGGAATATTTCCTCTTCATTTTGTCCCTTGGTTTATATAGGAATACAAGCGTTTAGGATATTCTATAGATTCCGTAACAGTTTTCTCTTCATACAACTTTTCAGACTTACGGATGATCAAGGCACAGGTATTCAGAGCTTTTTGATACTGAGATTTTGTCCCATCAGTCCCCGGCAACTTAAATCTATCCCACATTTTTCTTCTCTTATGGAGAAGGATGTGAACCTCCATACTGAACCATGGCGGAGAGTTTCTCGGCCCCCTTGGTATAGTTCAAGGTATGTGGGGTGCGGTAACTTTTAAGTATGAATTTCAAAATGGGTCCCAAGCACTTTCAATTGAGGGCTCTGGATCTATTGTCCAATCTACTAACGCTGCTGATTGCATGATATCTGGTATGTTTGCTTTCCAGGCGTTAGGTCTGGACTGAGCTGAAGTGTACTCGTGATTGGCAGTCATACGGAAGTCAAACGTTAATACTACGTGACCACTTTTACCTAGGAGTGGCATATAATTAAGGTTCGCAACGTCATCCTCATAGTGAGTCAATATAAGATTTATTAAGGATGATTTAGGGTCCGCATCGCGGGGTGATATATCTGAATTATATCGTAAATGAGTACAATAATTTCTTCCGCTTACGCTTTAGTGCTTTTTTATTGTTTCTCATTACGGAACATAGATCAAGTATAGTTGTACCATACGCGGACGTGGAATATAGATTAGGGATTCCAATTGCAATCTAGCTGTATCACTTCCTGTCGTTGCAATCGTCAAGTGAAAAGTTGTAGATAGTCCTAAACAAATAGTCTTCCCAACGTTCATTTTTTATCATCGTACACTATGGATTTCTTCCAGATGGATCATGTATTGCTAAAGTGGTGTTTACTCTGCAATACCTGGACACTCTTGTGGACCATAACTGCCCTCGATATGGAATGTGCCAGATTTCGCTAGGGTGCTTCAGAGGTTTCGTCACTGTGACTTTTTCAAGGAACTGAATTATGTGAATACTGGGTAACTTGAGTAGGTGGTTACAAAACTATTTTGTAATATTGCGAGTCGTCATATTTCACTGGGACATTAGGTTATCTTGTAATACCAAGTAAAGTGCCACAATACTTTAATCCTGATCCACTTCTCATAGAATGCACTTACTGTTCATAGAGTTGTAGTGACTCACGTTTATCACGAGAACACGACTGGTTTAATAAAAACAATTATTATTACAACCAACTGTACCAGTGTTTGTTTTAATGTGCTTTTGTTTAACTGTGCTAATTATAGCCATTTTGTGCTTCCATTACCTTCCATCATTGTTCCGCGGTTTTTGGTACTGTTCGCACGTACTCCTGTCTTCTGCTTTCGCTTGTACCTCTTCTTGGCACGATCTCGGTATTCGTTCAATACCACGAGATCGCCAACGAAATAAATCTGGTTACATTCAACTCTCGCCTTCTGATTTATCTGGCACGTGTTTCCTGGTAGCGGTGTTCACAGTTAATCTCAACTCGACGCCACGCTACAGAGTTAAGTTGTTTCCTAAATGAAGTTATTATAGGATAACTTCAAGTTCTGGAGAGAGATGTCTCACTATTTTGGAAAAATTAAATGCAACAAAAGCGTGAGCCATAAGAAATTTTCTACTTCTCAGCCTGGTAAACGTTGTGGGGAGATTTTTAGCTCAGTAAATGAAGAATATTAATACTAACCAGTGAAGGGAACTGCACTAACATCGATTCTTAACTAAATCACCTGGCCAAATTGGACTTGAAACTTGTGTGATAAGGAAGATCAGGGATATGAATAATCATGTTGTACATTTTGCCTAAAAGCCTTTTCAAGAGATATATTACACGTCTCAGTATAGAACTACAGCTTAAATTGCATAACTTCATGTTAGCTCACAAGAAAACAGACGGAAATAAGCAAAAACGAATCTATGAATGACATTCGTAGATCGTTGACCATACTTTAGATATTACTCCTCAGTTTCTCTTAGGATTACCAATAACATTTCTAATCCTAGAGGGATAGTAATAATTGTATCCGTCAGGGACCCAAACCCAGAACCTAAACTCAAAACAGCAATAAGCCAAATCTGATAAAAAAGGTTTAAAACATGAAAATTTCGAATAAAGTGATAATTGGGTAGATTGATAGCGATAAAAATAATATATTTTTAACATATCGACAGGTATAAAAATTCAATTTTCTGACGCTTTGCGACTTAATGTATAGAGAGAATCTTAAAATTTGCGAACTATTTGCTTGGCAAGACTGCTTCGTTAACCTAAAGAGGTAACGTCTATGATATCGTATATTGTGTAAGTATAATGTATACTTGAATGGTTTTCTAGAGTTCTAGAATTGAATTTGAAGTTCAATAGGCTTTTCGCTAAACGTCTTCAAATTATCTTAAAAGGCCTGTATTCATGTATCAGTTGATTAAATAAAATAACCACACTAACTGTAAAATGAGATACCATGGATTATTATGTAAAAAAAATTTTTTACCAAATGGCTTACCACATACAGTCGAGCACCATCAACAGGCAGTTTTATGTGTTCTTGACGTAGTGTATGATTCCTTTGCATTTTTTGTCACTCATACAAATCGCAAACAAGTAACATGCATTTTATTAGAGATATCATGCTTGTTTCCTTATTCATAAACAAACTTTTATGCATAGTGTATTTCTGAGGTCCAATAACTTGAACTCATATATTTCTTTAGCTCGACTAAAATATATTTATCAGAAACGAGTAACCTTTCTGGTGTCTTACATGTATGATCCTAGCCACGACACGGAATATACAGTGAATCAGTGGTCGCTTGATTCACAAAAACAAGTGCTAATCCGTGAAAAACGACTGATCTGATGGCGGAAAGTCTAACTGTTTGGTAATACAAGGAACATTTAGAGTAGCTTGACAACTGTTAGGGTGGCAAAGGGATCATTCAACAGCCAACATTGGAGCCACAATAGCTGATTATAATCGTAGTTGATTGGTTGGTTTTATCGACTGAACTAATTAGTTAGATTTAGATAATAAATCACATTGACATTAGGCGGACAATGTTCACATTGATTGATGGATTTAAGCGACGATAGAAATGAAAAGGAATAAATATAGAGTGCAGTAATAGAGATTATAATGTTAGGTTGCGTTACTTAAATTTTGCTCTTCAGTGTAGACCACCGACTTAGATGATCCGTGTTGAATGACTGGGGCATACTCAAGTTAAATAGGAATGTTATGAAGAACCAGCTAATTTTGATGCCGCACGTCGAGGTCAGCACCTAGCGTAGATTACCCTGTCGTCACATCAAGGTACTATGGCTACTTTGAAGATCGTATAACTTGAACGACGTTACTACAGAGATATATTAGCGATAGTAGGTATAATGACGCGAGTGCGACCAGCATCGTATTGGCCGCTCCATGTTGTGCGATAAAGTGATGAGCGTTGGTTGAAGACGAACGATGACTCGAAAAACGAATGATTTGGCTAGGGAAAATGATTTCAACCAATCTAACAAAATTATAAGGGTGAAATAAAACCTTTGTTTCCACTCTAAGTTTAGCCTTAAAAAGTACACTTTGTTAATTCCAAACTAAAGCGGTTTGGAATTGGTAAGAACTGTGCAGGTTAGTTCAGACATTCTTGCTCTTACCCAGTTGAAAGTCAAGACAAGACGAATGTGATAGAAACGACTCCGCATAAGGTATCAAATTTAATTGATCTCATGACTAAATATAACCACACAGTTACGCGACCGGTGATTGTTCAGCAAATTTAGTCCAAAATATCTTAATTACGTTAAATTGATAAATTCATAAGAGGCGCAAAATAATTACTATTTCCTAAAACTAAACATTTCTATGATAGCAGGAATATTATTTCATAGTTTCTGAATAGGTCACACAGTTTATTTAAAATGTAATATTTTGTTGTAGAAAAATATCAACGAAAAAAGTATTAAGAATTGTAGGCTTAGTCACTTTTTACAAAGATGACTGTTTCTGGCTCTAGGAATATGCTTTGATGCAAAATTTAAAATATGGGCGATTCCAGCCAGTTCAGGCAATACAATGCAAGGAGAAACGAGTCAGCACGGCAGCTGTTATAACAAAAGTGTTAGGTTTACGTAAGAATAATATAAATTCGGTTGATATGTAGAAAAAACTCCATTGGCAACCTTCTCGTCTAGTTTCAAATGTTAACGAGTTGTGGGGACAGAAAAGAATAACTTCACATTTTTAGGTCGAGCAGTAAGTTGCATTACAATATGGGGACTGTAGATGGACCTTCATGAACATCCACTCAACATTTTTGGCAACGATTTTACACAACTACCTGTAACTTGAAGGCAAACCATCTTTTTGTAATTTGCCAACCAAAGCTCCACAGTTACAGTTAAAAGACTATTCAAGCCTATGTGAACGTGGCCTCTCTTAAAGGAAAGTTTCGAGAGACTTTATAATGATGCACCCACCCGTGTTTTACCTTCTTTGAGATGGGATAACGGCTAACCTTATGAACAAAAGGGGAAAGACGATTTACGGCTTATCAGCTTGGTTTCATCATTTCTCGCATCTCACCCACAATTATTATTTTATCATCAACATTCCTAATGCCATCCAATCCTCTCAAAATCTCCATTCAGCCGTCGCGTTTCTACTCTTATGATTTTCTGCATGGTAAGAAACCTAGGGTTTCTGTCCTTACTACACAAATCTTAAATTTGAATCTGAACTTCTTCTTGAAATTTACTTATCTACTCGTTTAACGTCTTTACCAATTTAGTTGATTGCTTTTCTTGAACTCAAGTCCTTCATCTATTTTCTGTTCATATAGTGAAATCTCACATGTTACAAACAATTGACAAATTTTTTCTTAACATTATTGGTGATTGTTCTAGAAAGCCCACTTTACTGGGAAAAATACCTCCATTTGTGCTAAGAAAAAGTCAGTCAATACTCAGAATTTTTCCTTACTAATGTTCCAGCACCTTCTAAGGCGTCAATTTTCAATCCAATGAGACCAGTGATCGTAAACGGTGAAATGGAAAAGAATATTTGAATTATAGCTCGACACGTCAAAGTATATCTAGCCTAAGTTACCGCTTAGCTTGATGTTCTTACACTAGCAAAGCCGAGACAAACTACCAATTTTCAGAGGAGTTTGATGCAGAGAAACTTCAGACTACCGACCGGTGGCTCTTCTCTCTATACATTCAAAAATTATGAAGTCCCTGATATGCAACGGTATACACGATTATTTATTGTCCTTAAACTTCTTTACACCCCAACAACATGGTTTCAAGAAGGGTCATTCCTGTATAACCAACCTGCTGACTGCGGTGGACAGATAAATAACCACCCTTGATCGCAAAGTCGACTTCATTTGCCCTGACTTCTCAAAAGCTTTTGATAGGGTCAACCATATATGTCTTAACAGTAAGCTCAAAAGACTGAGCATCAAATCACGCCTAATTGACTTGCTCACTTAATATCTAAGAAATCGGCATCTTAAGGTCGGGGTTAACTTCACTTTCTCTTAGGCTGTAGAATGTCCTATTGGGGTCTTCCAGGGTTCAGTACCAGGACCTCTTTTCTTGATTTATGTTAATGATCTTCCATAACAGATATCGTCTGATTTATTACTTTCTGCTGATGGTTCGAAACTTTGGAGAGAGATATGCAACCAAGACGATATGCAAGCACTTCAGGGGGATCTGACTCCACTTCAAAGTTGGGCAGATGACAACAGACTTACCGTTAACACTTCAAAGTGTAAAGTAGTTTATCTGAGGCATATTGCAGACTACAGTTTCAACTTGGGAAACTCCTCTCTAGAAGTACCCCAAGTTGAAGAAGATTTAGGAGTGGTGGTATCCCACGATTTGAAGTCTTAGATCAACAGTGACTAAAGTGCCTTTTGAGCAAACTTTGCACTAGTAACATTGAAGCCCATTTTTGGCCAGTTTGACTGGGGAACTTTCCACATAATCTTCAACAGTTTCATTCGTTCCCATTTAGAGTACGGAAACATAGTATTACCTCCCTCACTCCATAAGGATAAGGACACCCTGAAGTGTACCCAACGGCGAGCCACGAAATCAGTTCGGGGACTTGAGTTCAAGCTTTATGAAGAGGGCCTACAGTCAAGAAACCTCTATCCATTAGAGTACAGGCGTCTTAGAGGTGACCTTATAGTGGCTTAAAGTATCCTTAAAACTTCTGAACATCCCTTTAAACACCTACTTAAGCTTAGTCCCAATACAAAACTAAAGGGTAATACCCAGAAATTAGAGATAAAACACAGAACGGACTGTAGACACAACTTCTACTCCTTAAGAGCTGTCAAATGCTGGAATTTGTTGCCGGCTGAGCTAGTCAAAGAGACTTCTTAGGAGTCCATAAAGATGCAAATTGGCCTATTCTTAAGAATTAAGGATAATATCTCACTATGATCTACCGATTTCATTTTCCTTTATTATAGTTAATATAGCTAGGTTCCTGCCTGAAGGTATTAGTGATCCACTGCTACTAGACACAGAAGCCTGTTAAGCAAAAGCTTCTTTAATTCCGTCCACAACCATCTGAATCATTTAGCTCACTGGTAAATGCATAAAAAACATGCCAATCTCGAGATAACTGTCAGGTTCACTAGGATTGTAGACTAGTGACCGAACTATCCGAATTAAAAGACACTAATGATCTGTAATCGTATCCTATTATCAAGACGTAAGAAGAAAGGAATCAGTTGTTTATAATAGTTATTGGATATTAGGTTCCAGTTTCTCCGTCTGCAAGAAGAATGTTAAGATACATATCTCTGTAACCAACAGTTTTCTGCATCTACCTGATTTCAGATTAGAAAAATGAATAGTTGGTCATTTCTGTGCAGGAAATTTCGAGATTTGTTCCAGTTCACTTGATACCATACATTTTAAAATCCCGGCAGAAAAATCCGCGTGTTTTGATGGAGTTTTCTAATTGATGTTTTGGTTGTAAATTAGGTAGTTATGGCATTTTTATTGCTCGCGGCCATGCATTTTGGCTTAGTTATTACAGGTAACATAATTTTTTCACACTTTGAGATTTTCAGAACCTTCTATGAAGCCCAGCTCTATCAGCTCAGTGACTGTATGGCCGAAGACACTATTTCCCGTTGAATTAGGTCAAACTGTTACGTGGGTGTTTAGTCCAATTGGAGGTGCCGATTATGATGTAAACTCGGCCCTCAGTTTTGAAATTGGTGGTCAAAGGGCTTACCGCGTTCAAAAGGACAAGTGTGGGGGTCCTTTAGAGAAATATTTTTCCTGCATTTACAAACCGCAAAATGAAATCTCGGTTACTTTCACAGCAGATGAATCCCATTATGGACAGCTGCTGCAAGTTTTCTACTATAAAGATATGTATTCCTTGTGGCTTGCAGATACACCTGCAATTTTCACTGAAACTATTCAGGTACAGTTTGCATTTATGTTGCGGAGTACAATTATTTATCAAATTAGGACTTGCCATTTCAATGCATTTATTGTTATTTAAATATCAGTTGGTAATTCAAAAGAAAATTTGGGAGATATCTGTAACTTAGACGCTGGTCACAATGAAATAGCGACTCGCTATCGATGTACAACTAAGTTTAATTTGAACTGTAAGCCTAGTTGTAAGGTTTAGATATCGATATCGATGTAGCTAATGCCATCTTGATAATTTTTTGAGTGTTTGGAATATTGGCTTTCAACAAACGTATCTCCATATTTTCTTATATTTAATATCCTGGTTTTCGTTGACTCCCAGTGGTGTTACCAAGTGTGACATTTTGTTTAGTATTATAAATGATGTGACTCATATCATTGTGTTGGTTCGCGTTTTATCAAGACGGCATGATGTCTGGAGTTTCATGTTTGGTTGCAAGACTTTTAAGAAATCGGTTTTAATATCTGATTTTGTTGACGAAATCTGTAGCTTCTGTGCGTTAGGTGCTGTTTAATACTCCGGGTTTCGTAACCCGTTTCGTTCATGGCTGGCAGTGGAAAACTACTTGATTGGGTCCATTTGTTGACAAGTGCTCAGTTGTTGGAGGCGTTAGGTGACAACAATCAATGACACAAATGCATTCAATATTGAATAAAGCCATTAATAATAATAATAATGACACAAATGCATTTTCTCTCAGCCTTGAGTTCTAGTGTTCCTCCATGCATGCTTTTCCATTCGGTCTTTTCGAAACATATTCCCAGTGTTTAGTTTCATTTCATTGTTACCTCATTTTTTTCGACCTGCCTTGTTATTTCCAACTGATCATGCTGTGTTATGGCGAATTAGGCCATCACATTTATGCTAGGCCCTGTATCAATGATGCCTATCTGTCTATATCTAGTTTGGTGTTAGATAACTGAAAACTGTTAGGTTAATCTGACCTATCCAATACTTGTGTTCCATCCAAAAGCATTTTTAACGAGGGATCGTTATTAACGTTAAACATTTTGTTTGATTATTTTCTCACATCATACCTGTGAAAGAAATCTTGTAGTAGGAGTAAGTTTAAATCACCGCATAACGTGTTATCATCTGCACATGTTGGAACTTTGTAATTGTGCATTCTATTCATTGTCTTGTTAATGAGACTAGGTAGGGTGGTTAACCAATACAAGTTTGGATACTACTCTTTTTGTGGTTCGTAAGTTTCTGTTTTGTGTCTTACATTATATTTTGTTAACAAATCTTAATCTGTTAAATATAAGGTTGTTAGATTTACTCATATCAATCAAAAATGCAATAAGTTGATTCCTTTATGAAACTTGAAGCTATTTCGTAGTTTTTTCTTGAACTAATTTCTGGAGTATTATAGTTGTGAAAGCGATTTCAAGTGTTCGAGTACATGCTTTTCAGGTCTCGTAAAGACTTATTTGTTTCATCGTCTGGATGTTCCTTCCGAAAGTAATGTCTCAAATGGTTAATCATAAGGAAAACTGAAAATTAAGCGTTCTCTGGTAATCTTAGTATAATTACTAAATCGTTTATTGTAATATTTCTTTCTACAGTGGGACAGTATCTTGGTGGTTTAAACATCCGTTGTTGTGGGCCCAAATCTTTCTCCGTCTACTTTTGTTTCGGGTTTCAGGTATTATCGCTAGCTTTCACAATTTGAGTGTGGCTGGGAACCGTACATACAAATCTCTACCTGGTAAATTGGTTAATAATAAATAGGCCTACAGAACATGAGATATAATCTAGGTTGATGAGCATATTCCTTATACTGTCGTAGTAGTATGCAGGGGTCGTACACGGAACACTATAAACTAACAAAATTATGATTCTCTTTCACAAACTAATCAAAATGGTCCCAGGGATTTCTTTAAACCCTTATTTAAAACGGCTCACTATATTTAATGTTAGCAACTGAATTATTAGTTTAGGTACATAGGAATGCTTAGTTATTTGCTTTTCAATGTCTAATTTTATTTCGAAGTTGAGAAACTTATTCATTACGAGGATTATCACTATTTTGTGAAGAGTAATGATAATATCATATTCCTAACTGAAAATTCAAGTAACACTATTCATAAAGAACGAAATAACTGGTAAGGCTTAATACTATTTAGTATGGTTTTTTGGTGTCATCAAGGTGTGCCACCACTAAGAAATAGTTCGCACTCAAAAAGTCATATCCAGAGCCGTAATTTTCCTTATGTCTGACCAGTTTCAACTCCTGTGGAACTACAATAAATGTATGCTAAAATCTACCAAATATTTGTCTAAGTATGCTGTTTATACTTAATAATGGAGTGTTTGGTTAGTTTTAATTCTCTAGCTGTTCGTCTCGTGTTACCAGTGAGCCCCACTTAATAATGGTGATTAAGTGGAAAACGTGGTGGGTTTCACCCTTTATATTTTAAGTTTCACATCGCTGACCAACTTTGGGCAATTAAACACCAAGAAGCAAAGAAGTCTGGGACAGCTGTTTTGCTTTAGTATTATGATGCTCACCAGGGATTAAGTCCAGGATCATAAAACCTTGAAACCCCTCTTCATTTGAACAGTTTTTTTGGGTAGTCAATCAATATTATGTAACGTAAAGTTTGGCACATAAACTTTATTGTTTTCATATTCCAAGGTTTTTTAATTATTTGTCATCTCGACAAATAAGCTGACGTGTTGATTCCTGTTGACTGTAGATGACAACGGGATATTCTAGAAAAATGCGTACGATATGACGAAACTGTCAATAAAGAAAAAAAGATATTTGCAAACGGATTTTTTTGTCTGGCTAGGTTGACAAACTCGTTCTATTATTCTTCATTTATCAACCCTTTGTATCTTATTTTCATCACAAAAGCTATTTCTAAAATAATATCAAAAAGCCTTAAAATTTTATCTTGCCGACACGATTTTAAAGTGATTTACATGGTTTTTATTTTAGTTGATTAAGCAACCTACATTTGTCAAAATGTCAATGGAATTAAAAGAACCATCTCGCTATATTCATAATGTACCAACCAATCTTCGCTTGGACCCCCCAATATTCCTTACAGGCTCCAATGTTCGGATTGACTGTTCGACTGATGGGTCGTTACCTCCAGCTCCAATAAGTTTCAGTATTGAATGCCCTCTTCCACCAACGGCTGTTGTTGAGCACGATCGAGTCACTCAAGCTAAACAAAATTTAGCCTATGAAGTTTTCTATGCAGCTTATGGTTTTCGTTCACCTCCAACACTAGCCGAGTTAGCTCCATATGTTGCACGAAAGAATGCTGATCAACTTCTACGTCTTGGTCATGTTTCATCCAGTAAAGATAATTTAACTTTGACAGCTCGTCTAACCATTAATGAAAAGGCACACGATTGTCATGTTGTTTGCCGTTTAGGTGGAAAAGAGACACGTCGTATATTGACAGTATACTGTAAGTGTGATCATACACTATTTTGATCTCTATTTAAGGTGGTTTTTGTTACTCTGGGTGGATACTTTCGGTGACTTTTTCATAAGACTCGTAGTTACTCTTAGCTTAGAAATGTGATTTTTCATAAGAAAATTGTTGTTTTGTCCTGTTAATTATCATGTGATATGATCGCCAATCAGAGCACGACTTATATGACCTTGATACTGTACCGAACCAATGACGTGTTGATCGGTACGAGAAGCCTAGAGTCCTTGTTAGTCCTTCTTGCCCAACCCTGCCTATTGAGTCCAAAACACCAATATCAGCTTCCCCTGTATGAACCATATATTTCAGACATACTTGGTTTATATACAAGCAAAACAGACCATGAATTAAAAAATAACTATTATACAAGATCAAGCCAAAAATTGGCTGTGATTGTGAGAGACTGTGACTAATAAGTTGGGAATAAGTTAGAAATAGTAAATCGCATAATAATAGTCAATAGGTCAGACAAAAGCCTATGATAAAAGGAGAATATATATATATATAGTTAAGTTATACAATAAGAATATAAAATAACAGTCCATAAATATATCCTTGCAGTCCATTTATTTTTTATTCGGATATGACAATAGTTTCACATTTCTTAGAGTTTCGTTTTGTTCGTAAACATCTACCCTATAGTTTACTGATTTTCTAGTTCTCATTTTTTTTATTCTTGACGTGATTACCATCTTATGATCCCCGAAATTAAGTTTCCAAGATAATTCAAGATCTGTTCGTATTTGGATAACCTTGACTAGTTTATTTTTAATTACTTCATAAAACCCATATCATTATATCCTAACGTTGTTAAAAAGATGGATCATCCCACGTGCAAATGGTAATTAGTCACTCAGTTTATTCTATTCAGTGTGAAGCCTAGCGCAAGCGTTTGTCGGTTCAAGTCGTCAAACACCACATCATAGTGAGAGGGGAAATTAGCATGGTGAAAATTGCAAAAAATAATGTCAACTGCAACGAAATGCAAAACATCAAAATTCTATTTCAAGGAGAACAAACATGATCGAATATCAAAAAGTGGACACCGACAACCATTGGGACGAATTTCGGACTATGTCACATAATGCCTTCGACCATATACTACAACTACTGTCAGGGTCCCGATTCTTCATCTTTCAACAAGACTCAGATCAATAGTCTGATTTCACGGTCCTATTGTGTATCTTTACTTCCTCTTTACTAGCTTTCTGCAACGTAATACTACTCCAGAAAACATTGAACGTTTGGTAAGCAGTAGCTAGACGTGCAATAACCGTCTCAACTGATTGCTACTGGTTTCACCAATCGACCTACCGTTTCTTTACTTTTTTCTTTTTACCTAAAACCCTCAGAACAGGCTCAATCATTCTGTTTCCACGATATTCCAGCAATGTTTCGGAAATAAATATTTCAGCTTACACTTGGATGTATTGCAGTTGTCTGATTTTAGCAAATGGTTGTTAATTCTCTCTTGTTATAGATGAAATCGGTGAGTGATTGCAAGCATCTATGTTAAATGTCTAAGTGGGCTGAAAAACGACTACTAAAATTTGATGGTTAAGTAATGATAGGACTGTGAAAAACTCAATAAAGTAAGGCTCCATCTGTCATTAGGATTCCTGGGTCGTACCATCTTAGTTTACTATATTAGATGTAACTCTATTTCCTCTTGTTTTATTAAACTAGACGTTTGAGATTGAAATTAGAGTTTAATACTGAGATATTTAGTGCTAAACGTTTAGACTCTTGAATGGTATCTTTAACGCCTAATCCTTTCTACCACCACTCATACTGTTACTACCTCTACTGTTCTGAAATTTGATTTGACAGTTTCATCTCTGTGCTAATAGGGTATGGCAAGTTGAACCGATGTACATACGTTTAGATTGACTGGCACTCTACATCTCTCGTTTCTATTAGATTGTGTGGAGAAAATTATAAAACTTATAAACTCCCTTTATACTTTGATGGTAACTTGAAATTCGAGATGCAGTTTATTTAGTGTCATAAATAGAAAATAAATCGGGTTCTAATAGCTCATTGGTATTTGTGGGCGCTTCATTTGCTCAGTTTAATCTGATGTCTCCGTCGTGTTTTAACATTTTGTTGACCTGGACTGAAGTTTCTATATTTACCGAATGTGTAGTGTATTTTGATTAAGTCTGTGCATAAGTTCCGAGATTTCTAAAATGACGTAAAATGAGTAAACCCGCTGTTTTTAATCCATATATATTGGTTGTTTGAATCTTCCCATTGATGTTTGGGACAGCAGTTGGTCGTTCTGTTTCGATCTAAGTGCATCCTGTACGGATTGCCTCAATATTGTCACTAAGCCACTAGCACTTTAAACAGAAACGGAACATCAACTCTCAAATTCAGGCACAATCAGCTGACGAGTTTCGATTAGGACGAGACATGCGTCTTGGATTCCAATGTTAGCCACCATCCATCTTTGTTTAAAACTCATTATTTTTGTTTAGTTTTAGCTTCATCCATAACTCATATATTTATGCCTTTGTAGATCCAACTACAATATCTTATTTATTACCACGTCCTCGTGAGGGCTTTATCTACGTTGGGTCGGAGATAACGTGCTATGCAGATGGACACCCACCGCCTATGTTGTCGCTCCGTCTTGCACAACCATTACGTCCACCTAACCCACTTACTGTTGAAGAAATCGACGCTTTACGTCAGGGTGGTCGACTACCTCCTTTAATTGAAGATGACCCTATAACTAGAGAATTAACACTTACCAATGCAGGACTAGATATAGTTCCACAGCAAATCGTACCTTCTCCTCCTGGAACTGAGAGTAAGGATAGCTCATCTGTTGCGTCTTCTGGAACACTTCATCAAGTTCCAGTGGGCCCTGATAACAAGTGGCTAAATGGAAACGGAAAAGAACCTTATGAACGTGCTCACCGTGTTCCTGGGCTTGGCTTATCCACCGTAGAGAGGCATCGTCAACTAGGTCTCAGACCTGACGAATATAGTATACAAGGAGCTACATTTTATTTAGCACCAAATGCTACTCCAGGTGTTGAACTCCTTCTGAGTTGTACTGCTCGCAATGTCCTTCCAGGCGATACAACATTCTTGGGACTGAATGGAACAATTACTCGTACTCGATTTGTGGTAGCTGGTAAGTTAATGTGATTGAGTTTATGGTAAATCTAGTTTCATGTACAACCGTGGTTTAAGGGCTGTACTAGTACTATTATGCCCTCATTTTGTTTATCCTCGAATTATGGATTTTCTTCCGACTTTACATTTGAAGACAGTCCATTTTCATAATATAAAAACTATAAATAGTGAAAACTCAATAATGTTGCCGTTCTCAGTACTACGTCACGATCGTAATTCATGATTTGAAGATCTTGGCGCCTAAAGGTTAATAGACAGCCGGGTTATTCGTTGTGGTTCGAAGTCAAATCTTCAAATCAATTCCCAACACCATCTTGAGCGTCCGTTATTTGTATCGACAAACATTCGAATTATTCTGCATTTCTGCTCAATCGTAAAACGATTTTGAAAAAATTGAATTATTGTTTCCTAATATATGAATAAAAACGAATCAACCCTGACAACTATACAAAACCAGCTGGAGTGTTTACATGTTGTTTGTTGATTACTTGCTTGTAACTCAAAATGTCGATGTAATTGTGCAACGAGAAATGTCATTAAAGATAAAACAAAGCGGGAAAAATCATATAGGAACAAAAACAGGAATGTTAGATAGAAAATTTCATTCCTACTACAATTGCACTCTACTGAGTCATTATTAACATCAAAAAGAGTTACAACGGGATTGCCACTGACTTGTGTTTCTAATTCGTGTTTGATAATGTTTTAAGCGGTTGAACTCGACTGTCTCTGTGAGTGTAACTGTAGGATCGTTGGAATTATCATTCGTCTGAACCGACTTAATTTATCCCAAGTCGTACGTTGCTTATGATTGAGATTATAGGAAAAAATAAGAAGCTGGTTGGTGATTGTAGTGCTCGACTTTCAACTTCTGAGTTACAGGTTAGAGTTCAGCTCAAGCTGATTTGGTTTGAATAGCCAGACTGGCTCACTATCTTACACACAAAACTCGTGGTTAAAAACCGAGCTCATGAACTTGTACTTGTTTGCCTATTTACCTTTAGTCAAATGTTCAAAATGTCAACAAAGCAACGGTCATTTTCTACTTATGATGTAAGTGATGTCCGTCACAAATCGACTTCAGTTGGGGTTCAGCTCCCACCACAAGATATGTAAATTTTGATCCCAGTACTTCGCAGTGTCATAGGTCCTTACAGCTAGGGAGTCTCATACTAGTGAAACAGCTGCCCATGGTTCCCTGACTTCCATTAGTTACCTAGTTAAAGTCATTCCGTTAAATAAACTACAAATCAAGCATTTCTCAACAAACTTAAACTAAAACTATTAACTAAAATCACATAAACAGATATCAGAAAGGGTTTTGTGGATATTATAGCAATTTTTAATAGTTAAGATCATGAGTCAATTAAAGCTAGACCACCATGGAAAACCTGAAATCACTGGACGGCCGTTTCGTCCTACTGTGTAACTCCTCACTAGTGCGCATCCTCGATCTCGCCTCGCGAGATTCGAACCTAAGACTTTTAACGGTTTCCCACAAAAGTTGGTTTATTTTTTAAGCTTGTTATCGTTATTTTTTGGACATAAATTTTTATTCTTAGTGTTTGTTTGTGACTATTTTCATTGCTCTAGCTGGTATTTATTTATCCCATGTAATGGTGGACTTCATATTTTCCGGGTTTTTAGTTTGTTGCCATGTATATGTATTCAAAGTAAAAAAAGCTCATGCTCTGTTGAGTTTCACACCTATATTTTTTGAATATGTATACGATAAGAATTGCTTTCAGGATATCCCCTCTTCGAAATCAGATTATATTATTATACACATAACTGTACCTGCACACAAAATAACCCCAGTATCGATAATCTAACTTGAAGCTAGTTGCAGTACCTTTATAAACCGACTACAGCCGACTTATCGACTTATTTTTTAAAAAAATCATGCGTCATCGTTTTGGTAACTTGTTTCTCCAGTGACATTCGCATCATCTGCCTTTCATCCCTTGATAAGGCTGAAACCCATTGACTGGTTAAATATTGTTCAAAACAGTTTGAACAATCTATTCACAGTTATGTTGTGGTGTGTGCTACTTATATTGACATTAGTAGTATATGATGGTAGTCATGAACAGAAGGTCTGGCAGCAGAAACAAGAGCATCCAACAGTAAAGAATAGAAACAGGATGCGATTTGCATGGAAATGCAAGAACAATGAAGTCTGAGTCATTTTGAGACAATTGATGGACATTTTATAGATTAAGCATTAACTATATGATTGTTAGATTTTATTAACAAGTCCTGTAATTTTGTGTTAAATACATTCGATTGTCCCCACCCGTGTTCTGTTCACTACAGTGTTATCATTCCTTGAGTTATTTCATGATGCTTGAAAAAATCAACTAAGCAGTTAAATCATATTTCATCATTACATTGAATTAAAATCTGTTCATCTCTTTTTTTAAAGTCTTATCGCCGACTAGTTGGGCAGTAGCTCTTGGAATATGCTTTTGTGTACTACTTATATTATTGATTATATTCGGTGTCATGTTATTACAGAAGAGGCATCAAAATCAAGCAGCCAGGAATTCAAGGAGCACATCAAACGGAGCTAAAAAGTAAGTTCATGAGTTAATTAACAGAATATTTGACCTCATATGAAATCTTTCTTTTATATATTACTACCATTGAAGTAACTGCTTCTATGAATTTAATGTGCTAATGAGGTGTGGCAACTTGGACCGACGCATATATGTGCCTGATCCTACATTGTAGCTGACTGACTGTGACAATTTCTTTATTCATTACTCGGTAAGTTTGAGTTTAGTAAATAAGTTCTTCGCTCAAATTATAAAACATTGCATCAAATTCCTGTTACGTCACACTTTGATTGCAAGGATTACTGGATATTTTTCTTTAAACGCGAGAAATTCTGTGCTGATTCTACAAATACTATTATAATATTCTAAATAAATCATAGATCATTCGATTTGTGTGAGGGCTGGGATACTGCCCGGGTGCCCAGACCGAAGCAGGTGGTTTTCTTAGGGGGCCATACCTAGAACCTTCGACCTACAAGTCTGATCCACAAGGCAGTGGAGCAACGTCAGGAGATGCAGTCCCATGGTAGCCGGTGACCAACAATAGGTTCATACACCATTTGTTTCTTCAGGATACTGGAGCTCTTGTGCACCATTGGTTTGGAGTCAGGGTTTTCCAAATCCCCTAGGTGAACTCTACGTGTCCACCAACCCGGTTAAAGCACTGGACATTCGCTTTTCGTCCTCTCAATTTCGTAAACAACACCCCCGCCACGAGAAAGCAGTGAGTAGGACTTCCCTGGAAATGGTTGTGGGATTATCAAAATGATCAGTAAAATATAGATGATTAATAGATAATGCATTATCATATGATATTAGATCCAATAATTCATTTTAACTCTGAATGTATTTATAACAAGAACATGACTAATACCAAGCAGAATGTTTTTTGTTTATTAAAACAGCATGCTTTTATGTAAAGCGATAAACAAAATTAAAAACGTGATTAGATTCCATAAAACAACTAAGCAGTTAGGGAGTATGAATGTTATAAGTTAATTACTTGTTATTGAGAGAAATGAAACCCGAACTTGATACCTAACTCTTGTCCCTGATATCAAAGGCGTATTGAAACTACTTTCCCATGTAAACAGATGTAGATGGGATGACGTTCAGACCTGGTTGAAACCTAAGTGCTTTAATCACTAAATCATAGCTTCACCTGCGTGTAAATGGTGAATACCATAAAATGTTGTTAACTAGGTCACCCAATAGTGTAGTGGATAGCGTTCTAGCTAATGTAAACACTTGAATTTTGCTACACCCAGGTAATAAGTTTTGATAAAGCACAAAACACATCTTGTATCATCCCACTAGATGATTATCATGCATCATGTAAGATGATATCATAGACATATGTTCCTGAACTGATACAGATTCTAAACAAGTTTCCACGCATATTTTCACATAATTGTTCCACTTCAAAATTAATAATTGAAAAGATACACAAAGAGAGATCAGACCTAATAGTGATTGTTTATTATTACTGTTGTAAATAAAAAGATTAATAAGTTGAGACTAACTTGTTCCTTATCTAATTTGTTCTGCAAAAGTTTGCTGATCCTTTCATATTTTAATGTATTGGAAGAAAATAAATTTCCCCATTAATTTAGTAGATTCTTCTTAACATTTACCTTTTTCATTGTTCTCAGCCATTACGTCCAATTACTATACAAATATCTTTACCTGTAAAATAATGCAGAGTAAACGGTGGTTTGTATTTGTCTGTTTTTAAACTGTAATAATGATCTACATGTACACAACCTAGAGATTAAAAATCGATTGCTATATCCACTCAGTTAACTTTAATATGCATGACAATCAGGCAGTTGTCTATTAAAATAAAACACACTTTTTTATATCTAATAAATTTTACATTAAATTTCACTATAGTTAACAATCACTTCGTATGTTTCGTATATGTTTAATGCTAGTTATAAAAACATGGTCTTGACTATTTTTATAACAAACAAATTGTTGAATTTACTGTAGAGTATTGAAAACAAAATTAACTTATGTACTATGAAATAAGTTTCACATTTGAATGAATGAAAGTAACAACTAGTTCAAATGAGGCAATATTGTCTAATCCAATTACACTAATTCAATATCATTCTGGGTTTCTTTAATCTCACTGTTTGTTCGGTAATCAATAATGTTTGTCCTAGAATTCCAGTCACTCATAATCAACTTTCGATATGCTGTAGATAGATGTGTATCAGTTCAAGTCCCTCACACACCATATCAGCGTGGCCAGACGAAATTAATAAAGTGAAAAAGCGAAATGGCAGCTAGTGTCAATGATTAGTAAAAAAAAGATTGAGCATAAAGAATATGTTTTAAAATCAGTGGGTAATATAGAGAAATAATAGTCAAATCATAGTATGACTCGAAAACTACTAGATCAATGTGACCGATTGTGAGGATACGTCACCCAGATTTTTGCGATTATTGTGTTTATCCAATTCAAGAAGTCTTCGCCAATAATCTGATGCATCATTGATTACATTATGGTGTCTTATAAATTAAAAACGGATTCAAGAATTAGGTGATTGCAAGCTATGTTTTATTAATTCTGTATATCTACGTACATAATTACATTCCTGTTCTTTGAAGATAGTGATCTTGGTTAGTTCACGATCGAAAAGACCTATGAAAGGTTCGAAATTACCATCATACCACATAAATAAATAGTTAACATCTACTTACTAATCAACTGGCTTTTTAAATTGATTGATCATGAGAACGAATGATCTATACAGTCAGTCATCCAAGTTAAGAGTTAGACGTTAGGTGAGTATGGCGGTATACATACTTAGCTGAATTAGATTTGGAAATATCTCCATTTACAGGTTCTCACCAGTGATCTTTAACGTATCGTGAGGCGTCCGGTGTGGCATATGTACTGTTGAAATGATTGTCACAATATATTATTCACCCCTGTTAAAGACTCAATGATAGGTACTCCAGCTTACATCAGTTTGTTTGGTGGAAAATTACCTCTAAATTAAATGAAATATTCATTCAAAAAGTCATCAGAATAAACTGTGTTTTGTTATTTTATTGATATTGTAGTGAACAAGAACACCAGTGGGGACAATCGAAGGTATTTGATAGAAAATTACAGAACTTGTTAATAAAATCTAACAATCATGTAGTAAATGCTTAATTTGCAAAATGTCCATCAGTGGTCTCAAAATGACTCAGACTTCACTGTTCTTGCATTTTCATTTAAATTGCATTCTGTTTCCATTCTTTACTGTTCGATCCTCTTGTCTCTGCTCCCAGACCTTCTGTTCACGACTAACGTCACATACTACTTATGTCGATATAAGTAATAAACATCACAATATTCTATATTAATTATCGTAATCATATTTTAAGAAACATTTTCTGCTATCCATCTCCATGGCCGGTTGATCATCTTGTAACGAATACAGCTTTATTATTTTATAAAAATAGAAACCTTGTCTTTCAGCTTAAAAAGTTGGTTAGATTATCCTTTTTTATATCGCTTAAATTTTAATAAGTAGCATGTATGTGAATATTGTCATTATTGACAGTTGGACGTATAAGCAACTTAATACAAATAAACCTAGTGAATGGCAGAATTTATGGAAGACAGAATTATTTCCCTGCTAGTGTATAAATTATAATCCATATGTTCTACAAATAGAAAATATAGTTATTGCTTTTTTATCTTCTGAAGTGATTTGTTAAGGTTTCATGTTTTATTTTTTTTTACAATGTATGCACACATAGAAAACTGAAGATAACTAATGATCATGGAGATGAAAAAATATTTCATAACAAATAAGCGTATCCATCCATCGTGGATTCTATCAGACTTCGTATCTAGATTCATTTGTATCCAAAACTAGAGGATCTGTAAATTCTACCAGTTTCGATATTCAATTTTGAACCAATAGACAGGCTGGCTGCACACACGTCTCTATATATTTTTTTAAGCGAGCTGTCATCAATTGGTTCAGTGTCGATAAAATCATATCATGTATTTCTCCAATATATCCTACCAAAGTATTGAGTATATGATTAAAACACCACTCCTATGAATCCGCTGTTCATCTTGCTGTGCTAATGAGGTATGGCAACCTGGACCGATGCACATATGTGCCTGGTCCTACGTTGTAGCTGACTGACTGACTGACTCGTTTTCCCATCCATATCTACTAACTTGGTGATGGTTGGGACGCCTTATCGTGATGACCTAGCCGACTTTTATTGGTTGAAATGCGTATTCCTTTAGGTCATATCATATCGGGTAGTTTGGTTAAAGAACAAAATGAGTCACGTGGTGGAAGTTACATGGTTGTGGTCCGCGCAATTATCGTAACCAATGATTGGAGACTTTGGGTGACATGACTCAGATTCGATCACAATGGCATAGGTGTATGCCAGCTTGAATCAATGCAATTACGTGCCAGTTTCTACGTTACTTATGACTGACTCATTGTATTAGTGAAAGTATTCAATTTAATTCTAAAATATACATCTTTGGAATGTGTGTGATAAATCATATATGTATCATGTATACTGTTAAATTGTTCTCGACTCTCGAACTGGTGAGGGTTTTTCTCATGTTTATTTTTTGAAAATAATTCATTGAAAGGGAAAGTTATGTTTTATTGATTAATAATATGTGTGTAATTAGTTTTCTTAAGTTGGAATTGAATCGTCAAGTAATCCATGTCTTTCGTTTTAAAATACATCAAATCCTGCCATCTGTTCAACTCTGTGGGTTAAACTTCATACCTATAAATGCAATAATTTCTACTTCGGATCATAATCCATATACATTTACTAAGCTTCACCGGCAAACTAACTTAAGGTATACATGTATATGTCGGGTCAACTGAAGAAACTACTCCAATTTACTGTAGTTTTACAGAAAATGCTGACAGTTCTTAGTAATTTTATTTCACCAAATAGTATGCTGATGTTATCATCCATCTTTTCATTTATTTGAAACTGTCGAGAGTAATCTTCTCCGATTCTTCTGTTTTTTACTTCCAAAAATTCTAGACCAAAGAATTATTCCAAAGATATGATTGCTAAAGTAAGTTAAACTTTTATTTATCAATAGTGTTATGTATTGTAAGCTACATTATATTGTTTTAGCGTAATTTAGTCAACATATTTGTTTGTGCTCTGCGTTAGTTTGTGCATAGTCATGTATGGCCCTGGTCTGCGTTCCAGCCACACTCTTAACCCCTCGTTCATCTCCTCACTAATTCTCATCATCCTGCCAAAAACACCATTCTTCTCATTTCTGTCTAAATAACCTAGGTAAATTTGTGGAATTGTAAAAATGACTGAAGTATTTGTTTATTTGGCTGCAATCGTCCATCAAATTTTTACCGATTTCATTCAGAACAAATGTCTTTGATGATAGTGTTGACTTTATTTCTTGTCTTGACAACTGACGCTACTTTCGAGGAAAAAGAAGAAGACCGGGGGATTTGGAGATTCAGAGAATTTCGTTCATTAGTTCATTTTCTCAGCTTAATAGTTGTGATGTAGTTCAAATAGGTTGTGCTGAAAACGGCAAATGAAGATTGCTAAGTTTTGCTATCTCTATTGGATTAATGTGTATATTTCTGGAGAATATCCATTGTGATTCTATTCGAATTATTTTTATTCTCTGGTAGAGTTGAACAGTACATATCGCCTAGTAAATTCTCCAATCATTGATATCTGCTACCCCAGAAACCATAGCCATTTCAGATTGATTTGTTTAAGCTCATCAAATAAAGTTGTTTAAGATTATCACCTCCGTAGTATGTTTATGATATAGTGTTACACATTTAAAAGGTTCCGTATTTTCAATGTATATTCTAGTTTGATCTTAACCCACATTCAGTGTTATTATTCATAGGTATTCTTCTAAAGCATTCGTTTCCTTATTCTTAAATGTGCTTTTCTTTTATATTTAACTTAGTTTATCAAATAAAAAAACTATCGATTATTATCATTATTACCATTATTAATAAAAATCATTATGTGAATAAAGAGTACCTAATTAGTTGTTTAATTTAATTTAACATAATGAACACATAGTAGTCCAACCTATGCTCATTATTCATTACTGATAGTGTGGTTTTCCAGCCTCACTCGGTAAAGGCTATGGGCTTGTCTGAATTAGAATCCGGTTTCTGAAGCTCAGGAACCCACCTCATGGACGGGATTACGTGGGAAAATCGTTGGAACCCCGGGTTTTGGCGCGTGGGCGTCGCATCAAGGCCAAGTATAGTCTACATACACACCGGTAACATAAGTTTGCACCCATTTATCTGTTGCCATACACATAAGTATACTTACTCTGTGGGCAAATATACGTAACATGCAAACCAGTAACAAGTTTTCATTCATGCATCACATAGCGTACATATAGGTATATTCATCCACTTGGGAGGGTAGATGGTCACCGCTGCCCTCGGACGTATCTACTACAACTGACTGTCTCTTAAGCATTACATGCATACCACTGGTACAAAGATTTTCGTCCATGCAGTTCATAACATACAAATAAGCATAAACACTCTCAGGAAGGGTTGATGGTCACTTCTCCCTAGTATTTGGTACCACATCTTTTTATTATCTCTTCGACCTGATGGTTTGGGCCCCTGATTTTATTAGATACAAGGAATACATTTCAACTTACATTACTTTTGAGAGCCCGGTGCGTACTCTTTGGATATACCTAGACACAACTACACAAACCAAGACTCATGCAATTAATAAACCAAAGCATATGCATTGAGCAACCCGTCACGATTTTTAGAGCCTCAATGGGTGGACTTATTTATTTATTTGAACACATAAATATTGGTACAAGAGGGCACCAAATATATATGCACCACACTTGTGTGTGGACTGTGATACTGCCCGGGTGCCCAGACCGAAGCAGGTGGTTTTCTTAGGGGGCCACACCCGGAGCCTTCGATCTGAAGGTCTGATCTACAAATCAGTGGAGTATCGTGAGGAGATGCAGTCCCATGGTAGCCGGTGACCAACGATTGGTTCATACACCATTTGTTCCTTCAGGATACTGGAGCCCATGTGCACCATTGGTTTGAGATCCGGTTAAAGCACCGGACATCGACTTTTCGTTTTCTCGATTTCGTAAACAACACCCCCACCACGAGAAGGCAGTTAGTAGGACTTCCCTGGCAGAGGCTATATACGCGTGGCCATGTGAGAGCATTTGGAGAGGGAGAGCGGACTCTCCCCACTCTCGGCCATACCAGGGCATTTGGGGGCAATGGGTGGATTCCGAGTGATTCAAGTTCAGCATAGGAGTGATGGATTATTCCTATCTCCATCAACCGCCCAAATTAAGGTTGCCCTTACTTCTCAGCATTGTCACGTCGAGTCTCTGAGTCAGATTTTGCTGTCATTATTATCTGGTATTGTTTTTAGTGCTGATTTCCTTAAAACTAATTATAATCTAATCGGTAATTCATTGTTATGTTGATTTTACTTGCACATTTTGTATAAAAGAATAATTCTTTCCCTACATAGACATTAGTTATAAATTAGGAACTATGGAGTTGATAGTTTAGTGATTAGATCACTCAGCCTTTAGTCATCGGGTCTCAGGTTTGAATTCTTCTCTTATCACTTACGTTTGGATAATACCCGGGTAAATAGTGTTAGTGCTCATACAGATAGTATCTTAAAGTCAAGTGAACGAATCTGTACATGATTACTGATTAATATCCATAAGCAAATTGGTTGTTAAACACTCGTGGTGAGCACTGAGTTCTAAATTATGTTATTACTTTATCTGCTTCGACTCTAGAAACAATGGCATTGTATTTGATTACTCTTCACACTAAAATAATGTGACTAAAACCCAAGTATATAAGTCGGTACCTAATTGAGTTATATTCTCGTTGATTACGGTGATCATATACTAATGTTTCTGTTCAATTACTTATGCTTTTTGTGCCTATCAATCACCACATACATATCCCAATATTCCATTAATGAGAACATCTTAGTTTTTGTGTTTTTCTGCATTAAAAAACCGTTGCATTGAAATCTTTTGTAAACATGTTTATATGATGAATCTGTGTATTTTTTATACGTGCTGTGTGTGTTGCCTTATGTACAATCACCATCTGAGTGAACTACGTGTAGTGTTTATATCAATAAATTTGAACTCCTAATTTCAATTCAACCTCAACAATAATCGCAGACGGACTAACCCAATAAGAACAACGAGCATTATATAATCCAAATAATGAAGCTCACAATGATGCAATGAAATATAATTTAATGTTGCACGAATTACTAGTAGTCAGAATGAGTATTGTTTACAGAATTAATATAATAAAATAGTCAGAGACAGATAAACAGTTACGTGTGTGTAAAATGTACGTAGAGTGAATCTCAAAATTAGTTATGTGAATCAATTCAGTGTAAGCAATAGAATTAGGATGGCTCACTGAGCCGTCATATGATTCCCTAACAAGCACAGATTTGTATAGCCTTGTAAATTCTTCACAATCGTGTATGGTATTTTGATCGATGAAGTTGTTTTTGTTCTGCTAGTGTTGATCTAAATACATTATAGTTCAAGGTCGGTCAAATATATTTTCTTGGTCAAAAACGTATATCTAGGGTCTTAATTGATTAACTATAATGATCCGGACTGCATGATTTAGGTCAGTGTGATGATCTTTTTCAGCATTGCCCAAAATCTGTTAGAATAGCTCAGTTGTATGCACTGGACGGCCGTTTCGTCCTAGTATGGGACTCCTCAGCAGTGCGCACCCACGACCCCGCACCACCCGGGGCTCGAACCCAGGACCTACTGGCTTCGCGCGCGAGCACTTAACCATTAGACCACTGAGCCGGTATCCAACGGTGTTAATGTCTAACTTCAACCAATCCACGAAGTTGCGCTACCTTCAACTGACTCATGAGTTCAATCTGTGAAAATTTCTAAAAATCTCCACAAAACACATTCTGATAATAACAATCACCTGCTCACTAGTGACTGACTTCAGGAGACACTTCTGGAGTTCTAGTGAAAAGTCGTTACCAGTGGAGTTCAACCAGGTCTGTTGTGAGATGGGAACACACTGAAGACAATGGTGTACGGTAGCGCAACTTCGTGGATTGGTTGAAGTTAGACATTAACACCGTTGGATGCCGGCTCAGTGGTCTAATGGTTAAGTGCTCGCGCGCGAAGCCAGTAGGTCCTAGATTCGAGCCCCACGTGGTGCGGGATCGTGGATGCGCACTGCTGAGGAGTCCCATACTAGGACGAAACGGCCGTCCAGTGCATCCAGGTTTTCAATGGTGGTCTAGCTTCAACTGACTCATGAGTTCAATCTGTGAAAATTTCTAAAAATCTCCACAAAACACATTCAGTTGTATGCATTTGTTATTGCCTCTTAGTTTCTGGGTTGCAATGTTATTTCATACTTCTTACTCTACAAATTAAGTCCTTCTTTTAAAATCATATTGTCTGCGTTTAATATCTTATTTTTATAGACACTACTATCATTTCATCCTCTTTCCATATTCATCTTATTTATTCTATCTCACTATATGCACTTGGATCAGTGCATGTTTATGCCAGCTTCCAACGTTGTTTTTAACTTACTGACTGATTCGTTGGCTTGATGTCGTGTCTTTTTCTGGCTATAAGGTCTATTCGAGTAGGTCTGTTTGAAACTTGTTTTAAAGATTAGTATCAAGCCAATGTAGTTCTAATGAGACTAATTCTCAAATGCAATTCCAGTTCACTCACATACTTATTCGTTGGATCAATGAATTCAGCGAACTGAATGGAGCCCTGTTATTAATGTTCTATGAATTACTGCGCTCACTTCTGTCCTTTATGTTAAACTGTTATTTATTGGTTGGTTTTGCTTTTCTGTCCAGTTTAATTGTATTGCCATTTACCTAAACAAAACCGTCGTAGAAGCCGATACGTATTTGCATCGGTCCAACTTGCCATACCACGTCGACACAATGGACTGTATACCAAAATAGCAGTAGTGGTGGTATCGGTGATAACAATAAAGAACGATTAGGTTTCAC